ATGTAGGATGACGTTGCGGCAACGCTCCGGCGCCGCACCGTTACCGCATCGTATGGCCGCGCTCTGAGTCTCGTTTTTAAAGTAATATACGGATTTTATCTATGCCATCTGTATTTACGAGACCATAAATTGTTCTTAAATGGTTTTCTATTGTATTATTATTGATGATAAGAGACATTAGAGACATTTTCGTATCGAAAGCTTATACAAAAACTTTATACAGTGACCATGCATCATTGCTTTGCATAATTTAATACAAATAGTGTATTAACCGAGGTGCTTATATATGCTTTATTGCACGCAAATTTGAAGAGTAGTTTCAATTGATAATTAAATTTAAAAATGAGGATTTCAGTATATCGTCAAAATTGTTTTTCATTATTTTTTTCTGGCGATTTAATTTTGTATAAATTGACGAAGCAACATCGCATCGTTGTTCCAATGTAAGTTACAGTTCTTGTCTATTTTAATGTGGACTTTAATGTCCACTTTCACGTTTACATATACTATAATGTATATTTATATAAAGTAGCATTAATCTTGTGTTTAAAACCCCTGAAACTCCTAAAAGACATTATCGAACACATGACCAATTTAAATACGCTATATTATGTATATGTACGTAAAGTTTTTAAATTAAATAGCAGTAAGTAATATAAGTACATTAGTACTAAAATAAAAGGACTAAATCTCACGTTTCCTACTTCTTAAGTTAACAATAACCTGCCAGGTGCAATCTCAACCCTTCTAAACCGCAACAATATTTTTCATTTCAAAAACTTCTCTGCACAAGCTAGGTGTATGTGGGTTTATTTATACTGAATACATATATGCAAATTTTTATTATTACTTAACTAATTTGGAGGAATCTTGCTATAAAGAACTGCAATGGATTCAGTCATACAAATAATTTTGATATGTTTATGACAGTTATAAAAAAATGATGAGTGTATTCTTTGCATGGGATTAAAAATATTTCAAGAAATTAACTTCGGGGCTTACGCATTTTGCATCTGTTGAATTTTTTTCTTTATTAACTGATAACACCTGTGTTGGCTAAACAAAAACAAGATTATTAGATTCGATCCTCGGACCTTAGTGTAAAACGCATTTATAATAACTGAACCCGGCTATGCGTACTATACCAAAATGATTTTCTAATAACAACGATTGGAATTATTAGAAAATAGATAAAATTTAAGAGAGTAAGGAGATATCAAACCTGATGTGAGCTGATGCAGACCACGGCTATGCAATCACAATCATGTGAGTGCCACTGTAGTCTGTAACAAAACAAATTAAATTGTATTAGTATTTTTATATCGTAAGAGTTTATATTTTTATATCGTAAGAGTTTATATTTTTATATCGTAAGTTTATTATATAGACATAGATTACAGAATATTTGCGCATAATGTTGCCATCAAAACGCGTAAATAGCGGGTTGTAGAAATCATTATTTTTAATATTCTAAATTTAGTGACTCAACCAAGATTATTATAAAACATGGGGTTGTTTATAAAATTTTCAATTACATTAATTGTTGAATTGTGATAATTAAAACAATTGCTCTTATGGTTAAAAAAAAACATCTTGTGTACGGCACACATGTATCAGGCACAGAAGGCTGATCACCTACTTGTTAATAAAAAGAACATCAAAGAAACGGATGCAATCTGAAGCCAAGATATAGGGTTGTTATTATTATTAAATCAAGTATTTTATCCAGATCGGTTCATATTAAAATGTATGCAGCAGGTGTTCGAAATTCAAACTCTCAACAAGTAGATGAAAGGTGTACATTGTAATGAGATATCGTATCTGAACATGAATAAATTATGCAGACTCAGGGTCTTCAAGATCTCCAAGATAATTCCGGTACTCCATATTTATCCGTTTTGCATATATTTATAAAATATTTATCAACCAAATTGGTATATTAAAAACTTAAGATATCTTATGATGATTGCGTTACCAATGACGTTTTAACTGTCTTTAACAATAACGAAATATAGAATGTTATTATATATTGTTATGTATAAAGTTACTAAGTTAAAATGCTTCCAAATTGGACGAGTAAACACCAATGTATTCCGTTTGGGACGGTTTCTTAAGACGCATAGACGTTTCTGTCCCACGGGCGATTTCACTTTTTAATCAGTAAGAAGTAATTATAGTAAACTAATAACGGTTTTTAATATAAGCCCGTACATAAGTGGAACTTAAATTGCTGTTTCTCTAGTTCTCGTGACAATTTGATACATGCAAGTAAATAATTTACTAGTATTACACATACCACCTCTGTGGTTTATTCAACGCTAGATTAATTACTAGCGTTTAACCTGAAGTTCCTAGATTCGATTACCAATGAAATATTAGCCGGTTCAGTTTTGAAGGTACCCTACTCGATTTGGCTAAAATGAAGTATTTGACATAAAGTGGGAGTTTCTGGGGTAAGTTTAAAAAGTCAAAAAAGACTCCCCAACACTAATAAAATATTATTATAAAAATTAGCGTTTAATTTTATGATAAAAGGTAACAAGCATAATATTCATAAGCGCATATTCCAGGTATAGCAAAATATTCAGAGCTGCGTAATTTTCATTACGTTGTTCGTAATTTCAGCTGAAATAGAATTCCTGGCATAGTTTTAAATTATCCATTATACCCCGACTGACATTTCTTTGTGAGAACCTGGAAAGCGGTAACTTTTAATTTTTTTCCTTTGACATCTAAAGAGATTAATTTTCTTTTGCGTTGTAATATTAGTCTTAACTTTTTTCTAAAATCATAATAGTGAATTCATATTCCTGAACTTTAATCAATTTCATTGCCATAACACGGGACCCAGTAGAACATAGAACTTGAAATATATAATCGAAAGTTTATTGTATTCACTTTTCAGGGTTATATCCGCCCGCGCTTTCATGTGTCAACCACACTCATGAGCAATGACGTCGGTGACTGTCAACTGTCATGTGCGCAGCGTGACACGAGACCACACACTTGAGTCAGATCATCTGTTTTACCGTGTCACTATTCTATGTATAGCGCTAATATATTAATCTTTTTTAGATTATACAAACGTAAATGTTTTCGATAATTAACGTAATGCTGCTAAAATGAATACACCAATCACGGATTAAATATAAATGCCAGCTGTCAGTTGTCACTCGCGACGTATACTAAGGTTGAGATTGATAAACGAGAACGCTAGATCTGACTTCCGTACGTCAAAAATGTATTTTGACATAAGATACGCACGCTATGTATATATGTATACTCACCCTAAGCACGACCACAATTGTTTATATCCATCAGCTATAACATGAAGCTTGTAATGATGAATGAATTTTTCATAACCGGCCCATTAGTTTAAAAGATTACTTCCTGCAAACTCAATGCAAGATTTTCCTCACCTAGCATGTTATTTTAGGTTTACATACAAAATATTTAGGCACCCGGCTTTCTCATAATTACCATCACTGTATATAAAATATGCGTATATAAAAAAAAATATGCACTTCGGGATTTCAACAAATCAGGTTTAAAAGTAGCTAACACTTCTACATTTACCAATGTACATTTAACACTGCAATAATCGTTTTTAAACCATAATCACTGTAGGCGTATTCAAGGCAGTCTTAGATTGTGTAAATAGGATAAATCGTCTCAGTTCGTGTTACCACTGACCGTGTATTTGCATACTTAGCGCGGTATCACGCGAGACTTCCTATTACCCTACACCATTCGTCACACTTTAATGCCCGCTATAATACATCTGTAATAATAAAGTAATAAATTGATAAAAACTAGTGATTTTGCTGAAAATAAGTCTAAAGCACACTCAGATAGTGTTTTTACGTATACAATTGCGATCGTTACTACTTATGTGCTATAAATAAATTTATTAAAGGAAACTATTATCTTTTAAAGTGATTTAAACAAACACGAAGAGGTATTAAAATTAACAGTTTCACACAATACAGTACATCCTAGAAAAAGCAAGACTTTCTGCTAAATAACGTTTCTTCTATATTTAACCCTTTTTCATATAACAGGGGCAAACGAGCAGGAGGCTTACGTGTATACTTCAGTGGGCAACTGGTTCCACATAATGGTGGGGCGCGGCAAAAACTGCCTAAAAACGCTCAGTTGTGGAACGACTGACGTCAAGGTGATACGAGTGGAATTTCGTATTGTGCATCGACGTCCGATGACGAAACTCAGCTGCAGGTATTAATCCGAACACTTTCCATGGTAAATACGGGAGATGCTGAGAGACCCCACATCTCTACGCAACGACAAGGGATGAAGCCGCTCGGAAACTGGTGACCCTACGGCGACTTAGTTTAGTATTAGAGCATAATACCTACAAAGTAATTGAACAAATTCTTTATAATCCGATAAACACATACCACAGGTGGACGAAAACAGTTACTACATGGAGAGGCCCACCAGGCAAACGCTACAGAGGTAGACCCTACGCTCGATGGGATAATGACACCAAAAAACGGGTCACCAATGGATCCAAAAAGGTCGGGATAGAGAAAGATGGCAACCTTTGGAGGAGGCCTACCGGAGACCTGATACATCCTAACTGAAAAAGATATTTTCTAACACATAGGATAATTAGATAATAAGTGTATCAGGAAATAATTTAAGGCTTAAATAAATAAATGTATGTATATACCAATCCAAGAATGTCGTTGTATGAATGTATTGAAGATATGATCATTGAAGCATCGAGTACAATTTGAGAAGGTAAATAACCCGTTATCAGTTATAGTCAATACATAAGTAATAGGAAATGATAACTGCGCAATAAATCAAATGGTACAAGCTATTAAATCGTATCGTATTACAGATGCAAGTGGATAGGGCGCCTACAACTGAAATGCAAGGATGGAAAAGCAACGAACTTTGCATAAAATTACAAAATAAAATAATTATAGATTGAAATACTGGGTGGGACATGATGGAAATAAGATAAGGAAAAAATGGACAAAGAAGGTGACGGAGTTCGGGATGAAAAGAGAAACAAGGGAATGCAGGTGAGCCGATGGGAGAACGATATAAATAGGGTAGAGTGGTATAAAATAGCGAAGGAGAGATCAACATTTCGAGGATGCCTTCGTCAAGAGGCAAGATGATTAGTTGTATGTAATAATAGTAAATAAAGTATGAAATAATAAAAAAGATTAAGTGCAGCAATAAAGGCTTATTATATTTTATTTATATTATATGATATATTTAATAAGCTAAAAGTACTTTAAAGTCTCCTAAAAGGCCGGAACGCTCCAGTTCATTTACTCCCTGTTTTATTATTAAAAAGGTACTTCTACAATATACGTTATATGTCATAAAAAACGTATTGAAAAGCTAAATAAAATTTATACGAGCCATATTTAGGAATCCACCAGTGATACAAAACTGGTTTACTTTTATAATTATATAGCGGTTAGTGCGAATTTCTAAATTAAATACATAACCGACAACGAAATGTAAATAATTTACAACCCTTTCATGATAATGAAGTCTTCAACAAGCATGCGACCTCATAACATTTGCTTTTAACTTATTACATTTGAAACATGCCATGATAAACATATACAATTATATAATGATTCTTAGAAAACAACAGATAATTAAAAAAAAAAATTAAAAAAACGCGTGGCACTCGGGGACTGCCGCGGTTAAGCTATTGCATAGCATTTTTTATCAACTTATGCAATTATAATTATTTATTTATGCAGTAATTTTGTTTTCTTTGATATTAATGCAAGTTTTTTCTTTGATATTAATTCAATCTCGATATTAAATCACTCTACCAGACTCAGACTAAATATAGTCTGTCTCACTCTAACGCGTACGCCGGCCGCTGTTAGGTCATTTTCGTTACGGAATTTCTTGATTCGGTCGCCGCGCTCAAAGCCCGCGATAAAATCTATGCAATAGCTTAATAAGTAAATATATATTTATTGGAGTCATCATAAGCTGTACTTTTGTTATAGGGGTAGCAATCCAGACGTTTTTGTGTGCAATTTTGATTAACAAGTATTGTTTCAATAACATTTGCGCTGACGCAGCATTGGTATCGGTACCAACACAACAGACGGCGGGATCATAATCGGTTGGTCTGACCCCTAACACAGGGTGGTGACTTCTGACCAATCACAATAAAACGAATCGCGCCATCGCTCGTTTTGACTTTCGCTTCACACTAGTGCGGTTGATTACGTGGTTGTCGTCTATCCAACATATAATATCTCCTGAGATTTTGGTTCAACTAAACGTTTTATTTTAGTATAGATTCTTACCGCTCTTTGGGCCTTGTAAGGCAACTAATTTGAGAAACAAGAAACTTTTCAAAGGTAGTAAAAACGGTAATTAATGTGCATTCTTGACTTTATATGTTATAATTTGTAACTTAATTGTTCAGTATGTGTTTTTACAACTCGTTTCATAATAAATGATATCTCGTATAATCGTTATGTGATACTAAAAAGATAATTATTTTATAAGAATAATGGGGTGTTCACTGAGCCAATGTATGGTAAGATTTGTTTTTCAGGTTATTGAAAATAACTACATTCCATTATGCATTTTATAGCTTTGTTAATGTAGCGGTTTCAGTTTTTATTGAGAGCGGTATGATGTTACAATAAAACATTTAGAGGCAGCAAATAAATGGTATAGTTTGAAAAACTAACTCACGTAATTTATTGATACACAGTCAAACATGGGTAAGTGAGAACTGGATAAGTGAGAGTAATAGCCGGGACCCGTCATTTTAAGCTCCCAAAACCTCTATTAGCGAGAAACAGAAACCTCTGTAAGAGAGAGTCGTTTTTCCCTCATGGACCTCCGTAAGTGAGACTGCTACTTATCTTTGCCTATATAAGCGACAGTCGGGCTTTATTTATTTATATTATGTACTTTAAATGCGTTGGAGACGGTCCCCATCAGTACTTTGAAAACGCGGCGCGGCGGTTGTTGATCAAGCACTATTCGACAAAATTTATGAGTTAGAGATAAACATTCAAAATACAAAAACAGAAACCCAAACGAAATTGACGGTTTTTTAAAGTGTAAATTAGTTCTAAATAAAATAAAATATATATGTACATAATATGTTGTGCACATTATGCACATAATTTTATCATATTACATATTTACTACATTCGTACTTGCGGCTCCTTACCTCTATAAGAGAGAAACGCTACCCATGTACCTGTATTAGCGTGAAACTCGGGTTAGTGAGAAACTTCTATAAGCAAGAATGAGATTGTGCTCCCTTGAACTTTCGCTTATCCAGGTTTGACTGTACATAGGAATATATTTTATTGCGGTATTCGCCATATTTATAATACTAGATGGCAATTTAGTTTTGTCATATATAGATTATTAGAGTTCTAATATCGCTATTAAAAAGTGGGGGTTGGTGAAAATTAAGGGCTGTCATTATTATTTTCAATAGGTACCTATTCTCAGACGTGCACAAAAAACACATAAAAAACGCTCAATATATTTCAGAGGAGGTTTCTAAGATAAACCAGCATTAATTAAAGTACTTAATTTTGTATTTTAAACTTGTTTCCGGCTGCATATCACCGGAGATAAAATTTGGCTTTTTAGCGTGGTTGTATCTAGATTAGAGTGTTTGTATCTAGATCCCGGCACATATAATTAATATATCTTAAAGACTAGTATCACTCTTTATTTTCATGTGAATAGAATTTAGTATATCAAGTGAGCAAGCAGACCCTGGTTAACTAAAACGGGCACTCGAATGACTCTTAGGGACGATGGCCCAAACATTTTCACGCATTCATTGTTCCCTTTAATAACAATGAACAATGATTCCAATGTTTAACGGTGAGTGTTATTGCATATTATTTAAGCTGTAATTTTTGTACAGTACTGTTCATGTTATACAATTTAACATGGGACTTCCGTTTAAAATTATATCGTACAGTCAACTCAAAACGTTCTACTACGAATAATGAGTGGGCAATACTTTTATGGCTTTCGTATCAATGATACTACTTGGTAACGTACATGGCAAATAACTAAGCAAAAGTTATTCGTTGGGACGGGTTCCTATAAAGAAAAACGATAAGTTTGCATGCAAAAATGTCTACTTGATGCCCCATCGAAGGGTTATATGAAATACGCTTTTGCGTCGTGTTTTTGGCAATTTCAAGATAAATTTCATCCAAATTAAAGCTTCAAAAGCCCCATAGTACCTTGCTCTTGAAAACCAGAGATGCGTAAAATTTGCCCTTGTCTCTATTTCACCAGTTCTCTGATAGGTATTAGCGCGCGTGGCTGATTCCTTTAAAATCCCTTGAAACGCCCTTCAAAGGGGAAATGCCTTTGATTTGCAGGTGCATCGCAGGCAGGCAGCACACAAATGCGAACTCTAGCCTTCCTCTAGACGAAAAAATTTATAGAAATTGTGCATAAAGAGAGACCACGATACAAGTATTAGAAGTACAACAATATTGAAAAAAAATCTATTTTGGATTAGCAAAGATTTATAGACAATTTACATTTATCACATTTTAATAAATCAAATAATAATTTTAATGATGAAAGTTCGTTACTTGAATCTTGTAAATTATGATATTAAGATTACGTGCATCTATGGGATCTTATTAAAATTCCTTTAATATATTATAGAAAGAAATATCTGCCAATTAATAGATACAGCACGTATTCCTGTGTTGTTGCTCATTTCAGTATATATAATGTTCATTTGTAAATCTAATAGGCGAGTAAGGTGATCAGCCTTATGATTACACGCCGTCATATTGACCGTGCGAGCGAGTGTTAAATGCGCACATAGAAATAAAGTTCATTGGTGCACAGCGGGGATCGAACCCACGACCTCAGGGATGAGATTCGCACGCTGGAGCCACTAGGCCAACACTCCTCTTATTTCAAGAGACGCGCATTATAACATATAAATATATAAAGTAAAAATTGACTTACAAATTATAATACGATATATTATACTTTCGTTTGCTAAGTAATAGTCTACTAATAACTGAATAATGCAACACCATACTTATCTAATCAAGAAAACTGGAATACCCCAAGTTTAATAGCGAAAATGTAAGAAAAATCACTATAGTTCCCATTCTTATTCCTTAGACACAGGTCCAATGTGGTAAAATATGGAGTGATTGAGTATAAACCCTCCTCTCGAATAACTTCTTATGATCAAAACCGCATTAAAATTCGTTGATTTATGTTCGGCGTCCACAGCGACTTTGATTTATATAATGTATAGTAAAGATTACGAGCCGTTAAAAACGAATAAAATAATAGCCTAAACAATGTTTAATCACGTGCGGGGGTTCAGGTCAATATCCTAACCACGTGTTAACCTCATTTATTACACAATTTGGATCAAACCAATTATTTTACTAAGCGTGCAGGATGGGGTTATGATTAGATTTTTACTAACATATATAAAACGAAACGAAGATTCCTATAAAAATATTATAACTATTTTCACGTTAATATCGATCAATAATAATAAAAAAGGAGGTCTAAATTTACATACAAACCTTTGTATAACTGTGATAAGTAGTACATAAAGTCTAGAGTATTGAATTAATATAAGCTTTTCTTGAATTATTTTTATAGGTAATTAGATACTCAAAGGCACAATTTTTGTAAAAACGTTTTGTGTGATGATGCTTTAAAATGTATCAACGATGCGGTATGGAGTGCCGAACCATCTATAGTCACTTCAAAACAGAAGGATTCAACTAAACAAACAGCTTCCCTAACATCTTCTTAGAACTTCTCAGAAATGGAGTATCTTGTTTAGATAAATATTCTTTGAACATTATCTTAACAAATGTTTTTTAAGAAACGAATAGCGAGTTTAATTTAAAAATAGTAGCTTTTAGGCTTTACTTATGTTTATATTTTATATAATGGGAAAGTAATTACGTCATGTTGATACATTTAATAGAGATCAATACGTTTATACCACAAATTCCCAAGCGAAATTTACCCAAGAGAATTATCACTAAATAAATTCAAAGCCCTCCTTAAACGTAAATTAATCAATAAAGCTTTTTATAAATTTGACGAATATTTAAATGATCCTAATCCTTGTAATTGATTTGTCCAGTTCAAGGAATTTGTATGACTCAAAACTTAGCGATTAAAAAGAGTGGCGGAGAGTTTATTAACAGTTCTTCTTGCCCGCTCTTCGCCCTTGCTAACTGGTAGTAAATGTAAATTTAGAATTAATTTAACTTCTTTTCTGACGTTCATAAGTGTACTTGTTTACCTATGAGTTATTTTGACTTTGACTTTAACATTTTGAGAATTAATAAAAATCCCTCGAAAAAATCTCACTAATGACTAGGCTGCCCATTAATAAAATCATACAATATAGACATAATGACTTTAAAAATTATAATTAAATTTGGTTCGTCTCGAACAGAGAGCATCATGTATAATAATGAGTTTGTTTCGTAATTACATCTCAATATGGTGTGACTTCCTGTGTTATTAGTTCACAGTCAATTGGTGGATACATTATAACTGTTCATTTGTAATTTTTGTATGAATGTGACTATTGTATGACCGTAGACTAAAATTTCCCTTCTAGATAGTATAACATAAAGTCGCTCACGTTTGTGCCCTTAGGGTGATTTGAGATTTAGGACTACGTATGATTCTTTTTTTATCAGTGAAACTTTTTGTGGATATGTGCAATGTGTTTATTTTATGTTTTACTTTTATTTTATTTTATTTACTGTGTAGAGATGTATCTGTTTGTTTCCTTAATAAATAAATAAATTTCGGTATGTCAAAAATTTTGACATACAGAAGTCATACTTGGCGCTATGCCACGACCATGAATGGTACCTTTATAGCTAACCCAGTGGTGTTACAACCCTTGGTCATAGCCACAGATTCTGTACATGTTTCGTGATCATTTGCTTTTTGCACACGCCGCCAAATTTGTAAGTCTGAGGCATGCCTTTTCCTCATACTGCTTTCCTTTACTATAGAGCGAGTGTTAAGTACACGTCCAGGCTTCGAACCTATGACCTCTAGGATGAGTCGCAATCTCAAGCCACTAGTCCAACACTGCTATCTACTACCACATCATTAAACGCGACAGAATTTAATGCGTTTCACCAATAGATAGTAATTTAAGAGGAAGGAAACATGACATATTTAAAACTATGTACTATGGTCAAATCATAGTATTACTCCACAGTGATACCACATTACTAATCCACATTGCACCCATGCGGAACAGGGTTAGTTCGCAAGAGTTTTGACAAGGGCTTTCTTTAAGTTTTATGGGTAAAATTGGCATAACATTCTATGAGACCATGAGCAAAAGGCCCCCAAAGTTATACCATCATAGGATAACAGGCAACCAAAGTAGCACTTCGAGTTCTTCCTGCTATACAATGTACATACATTATCATATGTTATCTAGGGTTAATCTGGACTTATTACTTGGAAGAAATCAGAAAAATAATGTCTTGGATTTACAAAGTAGTAAAATCCCAAGTTGTCCCTTTCAACTTTTCAATCCCAACCCTTGATTAATTTTGGTCAAGTTATAGAAATCAATTTGATTTAACTCTCACATAAATTCAGTAATTTTATTTAATTAAACTTTAAAATAACAATAATATAATCGGGCACATTTAAGATCAGTCAATATGACAATTACGAATTGTGCACAAAATGAGCGCGTGATTGCAGACCGCTGGCAGTTTGGCCGATAACGGAGACACATCCTCGTCCGGTATACGTATCATTGTTGTTAGGAGCCCGTAGAGGTCCGGTGTAAAATGTGTGACAAAACAATTGACAATCGAATATCATGGTCACGTGACAAGCTATTCCCATATGACATTAAACGGGTCTCGAGCAAGGTAGCTGTCTAGGGGCACTGACTTTCTTACTGTTTCGTTCTGGTTTCCATTTTAGAAGCGATAGTACTTCGAAGTCAAGGCATATAGTAGTAAAAGAAATTACTCTTAATAACATAGATGATAATATTATAGATCACTTGACAGCGGATAAGTCGACGCAAACTTGTGGTCTCAAAACAAATCATACTTAAATCGGTTAGAAACTAATAAAGTAACTAAAATTCAAAAATGGCTGTTCTACTCAAAGCATGGACCCTTATTTCTGGGTAATAATAAAACTTACCACTCAGGTAAACACAGGTGCATTTATAAATAACTGCACCGATTCGGGGTCTCGCAAAAAATACAGAATAACGCAGCTGGCATCAAATATTCGCATTTGGACTTGACTGTTTCATAATTATATTAGATTGTCATGTCGTGTGATATTTGTAAGAAAATCATTGTTTTTGTAAGAACAGGCTAGTAGGAAAATGTGGAATTTGATTTAATGAGTTGTGAGAAACTGCTATAGTAAGAAACGTTTATTAAACATGGACTGTTAAAGACACAAAAAGACGCTTCAAAGCTTATGAGGTGTGGTGTTACCGTAGCATGTTGCAGCTTATAATGATGGGCAAAACTCAAGGCAAGAGACGTGCTGATACAAGAAAGAAGACGTGGTTGCTGAACGTACGTGGATGGACTGGTATCACATCCGCCAGGGATCTTTTTAGATTAGAGCAAGATACCTGGCAATTCGTTAATAACCAGCCAACCTTTAGCGATAAAGTAGCACCAGAAGAAGAAGATTATACGGAATATTAATTCCCTATTTTCTTATACAATCAATATTAACTACCTATCTCTCAATGAAAATATTCAAATAAAACAGCACTACTGCAACAGCAATTAATAACAGTAGCCAATATTGTTCATAAATTAAATAACAGCCAAAAAGTTTAAGGGATTAGGTGACTTATCCGTTACATTTATTATCATTGCTTACCATATTAAACATTCCCATTGGGTGGCATTATGTTAACCAAATATTTAATTCGACGTTATGAACGATAATCGATTTGACTACCGTTTGGGAAGTCGTAAAAAAATGGGCACAGTAATCAAACAAGCTTCAATATTTATCGCTCTAATTATATATTTAACTTATTTATGAAGCACGTTTCAGTTTCATCATCGGACGTCGAGGCAGAATACAAAACTTCACCTGTATCACCACTACGTCCGTCGTTCCACAACTGAGCCTTTTTAGTAGTTTTTGACACCTACTTTTTTTTCAAGTCAAGATCGTATCAATTCCTAAAAAGCCGGCACCGCACTGACGAGCCCACTCGCATTGAGATTGTACATGGGCGGTATCACTTAACATCAGATGAGCCTCCTCTCCCTTTGCCCACTGTTCTATAAAAAAAGCAATTGCATTATTATTGTTTTTATAGAGCAAACCGGCACATCCAATGTTAGGAGATACCACCGCTTATGTTATTACCAGAAGGTACGCGCTACGCTAATTCGTATTGGTTCGGAAAAACTTCCATAAACAGCTGTCTCCATATAGAGGACGCGCTGCATTAGTCTACGCAATTTAATTGTAGAAATACACACAAATTAATTACAACTAAATTAGTTATCATCCTATATTTAGTTAATGAAGAAATAATATAAGTACTTGCTTAACTTATTGGAGCAAAACAAGCGCTTCTCAGTAAAATATGTACATTTTTACATTAACACCTTTACGTCACACACCTTACAAATGTCTATCTAATCTCTATTAATACATTTGGGTAACCCATAATAAATTCTCTATGGTTACCATTGCAAAACTGTATAAAAAAAGATACAAAAAGCGACGCGTGCGCACCTGTTCCATTCACGGACAGACATCTGCCTCTGCCATGATAAGAGTTTTACATTATGCTAATGACAGCGTTTTTAGGCTTTACATTACCAGAGATATTATACATGGTATAATTTAAATTTTGATTTGGAGACCAGCCGGCAATTACGGTGAAGCTAGTTGAGATAAAAGCCCACTTAAAACATAATGATTAATTTTATTTGTATTAAGTAGAACTCGTATATTTAAATGCTTTTAAAAGCTTTCACATACATACGCAATACATTAAATTTGGTGTATTTGCTTATATGAATATATTCTTTATAAGGAATGGATGATTTTCAAGCATGTTTCTTGTTCATGTCAATTGTCATATTTTGTCAATCTAACTGTATAATTTATATTAAACATGTGACGATCGGAAACAGGAGTATGAGGATATTGCAAACGTAACTTAGATTGACAATTAATGACATGAACATAGACTACAAATTGCGTTCATTTTTCATTAACTATTCAGATTATTTAAAATGTATGATATTCATGGCCATATTTGATAATCACCCAGGGCATTATTAGAGTTTGTTTGTTGGGTAGAACGAATCTCAGGAACTGGATGGAATTAATTCAATTATTGAAGTTATACTTCTTTAGGCGCGTTATGAAAAATTTATGAGAGTGAAATTTTACGATGCGCGCGCACCTATGACACAAAATTGGGAGTGTGATTATAGCGTGCGCGAGCGAGATAGGAATAAGACAATCTACAAGTAAAAGAGAAATAGAATATGCGTGAAGTTCGTATGCCAAGAATTTTGAATGACCATAATGACATTTGTCATTTACCTTTTAAACAAATACCTAAAAGGAGTTTTGATTATTTTTTCAAAGAAATTTATTAATTTTATATTGTGCAATACTGCCAAAGCAACAACATACTTCTTAGTGTTTGGTAGAGATGTTCTAAATATATAATAATATATAATTTTAACTAAATATAATTTATGTTACACTTAATGTAAGAGAATAATAATAAATAATTACATATTTAATTTTTCAAATGTAAACTGAACTTAATTGACTATAATGACTCCTTTTCCAGTCTTTGATTATTTAATTGTAATTAATTATTTGCATGCAATCAAAAACTATTTTTAATAATGCCAAAGAAGTATAACTTCTTACGCGCGTACATAAGTACACGTTTTTATTTATTTCGCAGCTAGCAAAAATTATTTATAACAAAACACAATTATGCTAAACATATAGCCAAAGATGGAATACTTAATATGTATTACAAAAAGGTTCAAACATTTACAAAAGGAACAAACTATAAATACATACATTTAACTAAGTAATACCTAATTCGGCTGTGTTCTGTAATGGTGTGAAAGTGGAGGTATGTACGCGAGGGTGTGTATGTGGGGTGTGCTCATGATGCAGTTGATTTAGCGCTATGAATATTCTTAATACTCCTTTTAAGCAAATTCCGCGATAGCTTAAACAAGTCAAGGTTTAAATGTTTGTCTTTGTTGTTACTTTTGCGTTGGATACTCCATTTATCGTGCTATATTAATAAACTCGTTTAAATTTAAACTAACTTTACAGCTTAGCATGATTAACATAGTATCAATAAATATATATATATATATTTTGTAGGGGGCAAATAAGCCTGCGGGACGCCCAAAAAGGGCAGCCATCGCAGCCCATAGACACTCATTGACTGTGGACCCATCAAGGTGAAATAACAAAATAAATTTGGTTACACCCATAGTATTCGAAATTGGCTATTAGTCATGAATGATAGAGCAATACTATAATGTTGACATTGATCTTACGGTAATGACGCATGCGTCGGTTCCTTCTCGGTAACCATGTAACGGATCTACGGTCATGGCGTCATTTGGCAAGTGGCCGTGTTCGAAATTTGGACCACTATTATTGTATTGTTTGTTTTTCGGAAGTGTATACTATACTTTGAACGTATTTACTTTTGTATATCCTTATTATGATTCAGATGTATATATATATATATATATAGTATTTTTAATAAAAAAAATATACTTTTGACGCGTTAGTGAAAGTCCCATGCCCGTTGAAAATTTTATATTAATCGTATAATAGAACGTCAAAAATCTTATTTTTAACATATTATACTCCAATGGAGTCGCTACGTTATAGAATGCAACCAATAATTTATATTCTCTATGGTTTAGGCGCCAATAAATTATGACATTAATATATTTAAATTAAAGGGCCTACTCCTCCAAAGACCGGCAAATCCCGAACAAACGTGGGTGTTCATAGGCTGCAACAGCTGCCTTTTATGCCCTCTCCGTATCATATTAAAAAATATTTAAATTTGTAATGCTACTAGAAATTTCTTTTTCTTATTGTCTGACGTCACTGACCATTCATGTTCTGATATAAGGTGAGATGTTACAAAAAAGATGATGATTCATACGAAGGAATTCCTTACCCTACCGACTCACGAGTGAAATATTCAAATGATAAGATCACCTGTTTATGACCTGTAATTAACTTTTCTGTAACAGATTAGCTCGGTGACGATATTTGTTTACATTAAACATCGGCGTGGACGATTTATTAGATTACTTGATAAGAGCTATTAAATATCCGTACTACGCTATTTGATAGTAAATATTATTTGAGAATCGATATTTTTTTTACTGACGTTTTAAGTTATCTATATGAATCAATTACATATATAATAATATTTTATTTCATAGGGGCTAAAATTACAGGATCACAATGTTTTATCAGCAATTGAGTGAATGATCTTAGATAGGTATATAATTGTAAAAAATCATTTATATAGATACTATTACATTTTTTTTTCTTAGAATGCTTGTATAATTTACACGTTACACAAAACATAGAAATGCCCCGAAACTTACACATATACAAACACATATATTTTAATATATCCCATGCGAAGCTGGGGCAGTCTAAGTATACAGTTTTCAAAAAATATATAGAAGTTCTTAATTTTATTATAATTACTTTAATTAATAGCAGTTTAACACTATAGTACACTGGTTTCAATCTCAATTAAATTCTATTAAAATAATTACCGAACACCTTGCGTGAATGTAAAACTAGCGGAACAATACAAAATGAGTTTGAAACGGTGAATTACCATAACTTACATTGGGTTTTTTGGTGTTATTTACTTACTTATCAGTGGAATAACTTAAGATTTTAAATTTAATTTGCATCTATCAACAGTTGATTCCCAAAACAGCTGATGCATCTCGAAAATGACTAACTCCCGCATTCTATTCAAATTACTTTTTTATTCGAGTTCTAGATTTATTATTATTATTTCCTATTATAAACATAGTATGTCTTTATATAGTATTAGTTTCACTTACGCTTAGTGAAATCGTTTCTTATTTGCAAGTTATCTGCTTAATAATTTGTATCATAACAAACTCCATTTGCGGTGAGGTGCGCCGAACTTTTGGGAATTTAAAAGAAGTTAAAAATGTGAATTAAGTTATAAAGATATTAAATAATACCTAGTTTTTTATAAAAACGTTGGTTTACACGTTTGGTTTTTAAATCACGTGGTATGGAGACAGCTGTTGCTAAACAAATGGCTGACAATTTACAAGATAAACTTTTTACCATAATAACTGGTATAGTAAAATATATTTGTGGGATCGATCGATGCAAGATTTAAAAGTCAGGCTATGTAGATTATGTAGGCCTACATTTTGCAGGTAGGTTATACTTTTCTTTTTTTCTCTGTAGCGGTAAATTGCCGTTCGGCATCAATGCACCACTTTATCGTACGTGTTGTGAATCAATACCCTGATGTTGCATTTCAATTGTAGTCACCTGCCTTGGTACTTGAGGTTTTGCTTAGCCGCTTTTAAAGTACTATTTTACGTGTTCCTACACAATTTATATACTACAGAGAATACAATTTAACTATCATAAAGGAGTGTGCCGTATCCAGGTACCGATTAATTAATCATTTAGTAAATATTTTATTTTCGCTATAAATACAATGAAAAGTTACATGGTCTCGCCTCAAGTTTCCTTACATCAATGAGAAATTAAATAAGTTTCATTTACGAATTCAAATACAGGCCTTGCTATCCTGATTAACTATCATAACTCCACAACACTATTAATTATTTATGTTTAAGTATGACACTTACGCTGTCTATTACAAAGTTAAATTTTGTTAATTATAAAGGCAGTCTCTCTATGAGATCTTAGAAATCGAATGCAGTAATCGTGTTACAAATAGAAACAGTAGCTGTCGGTTAAATAATGATCTCCGAAATCTTGGCTTATACTGTAAATGCGATCTATACAGAGTGGACAACATTACTTGAAATTCTCAAAGATACATAAACGACAATTTTTTTAACGCTCAGCAAAACAAAAAATATTTTTAACTATCATATATATATAGCATATAAATTTAAATAGAGTAGGACTTATACTCAATTGAGTAAATAGAGTTTGTGTTAGGGAAATAATCTAATTCCCTAACACAAATGGTAATTATCTATTTACCCATTTGAAAATTACATGTTATCAGATTGTGTTTGAAACTAGCATTTAAACAATATTATAAATACTCCTTGCACCCGTACAGCCAATCCCCTAAAATGAGTAATAAAAATCGCCTTACCCCGCATACTTGGCCGGGCCTGTGCGGTACCCGTTGTAAATTCCCCGTTCTGCGAAGTGCGACACATTGAGTAAGGGCGGTTGCTTTCAGATCGAATATCCTACGCTATAATACCCTCGCACATGCAACACAACGATGTATATACCAAAACTTATCAACCATACAACGTATACAATTATTTTAAGGATATTTTCATTCAAACTTACCAGCAAAAAGATCGCCAAATATAATTTTATCGATCACAACAACTTTATATTTTAAATACAAAACATTACATAAAATAAAGTCGAAATCCCCTTAACACACACAGCGAACTTATTTCAAACTCAAATGTATCATCCACGAACGGTTAATTGATTTTTAAAATTACAAAACATCACAAAATATTCTTGTTAAAAAATAATCAAAGTCAAACCTAACACACGACGAGTAATATGAAAACACGCGAAAGAACTGAAAATATAGTTTCGTTACTCGCTATTCTCACTCACCTCTCACTGACTCAATAATATCTAACTCATTACTCAACGATCAATGATTACCATTCATCATTCCCTGTTACAACAGTGACAGTTAACAATTGACAATGTCCAACTTCGTATACAGACAGCCGTTAAAGACAGATTATGGAAAATTATCTTCTATGTTAAAGCAATGTTTAGGTTAGGATAAGACTTGGTCATGTGACGATTTCCATACAAGTAATTCGTTTGCTCTTAGACTAGTTGGTCCCACAAAGTTAATTTGAACACAAGCCCCTTAAGAATTGATCTATGTTATATTATTATTATGATGGCACTGAAATTTGACATTCTGCGTCAATTTATAAATCTCATATCAAAGTAATTGATTGATGGTACACCGTACACGCCGCGGTGCCTAAACGAAGGCTCCAGAAGTGCTGACTAACATAAAATAGTTTAGAAATACATCCTGCATGTTCAAACAAATTCTATTGCATGATTGTGACAACTCTAGGCAGCCATAGTATATTTTTAATTCTACAATTAAGAAAAGTTTTTCTACTATTTCCATTGGTCATTGAAACTTTTGGCCTGGCTGACATTGACATCATGACATTTCACAAAATTAAATGACAAATTTGAATATTTTGATTGTCCATGACGTTCACTGTTAATCAAAATTAAGGAACATTTTCATTTCTCAGTACGTCAAACATGGAGGAAGATCGTCTTTTCGATGAAAGAATTTCTATTAGAGAATCTGCTCGACCATTAAAAAAATACGGCAGTACGTGTAATCATATAAAAAGGCATGAAGAATATATAAAACATGTAATGGCTAAAGGTGACACACTGCAAGGAATTGCTTTGAAATACGGTGTAACAGTAAGTTAAATTTCCACAGTATTATTGTTGATAAATGTAGATATCTTCTGTAAATTTAATTAAATAAATCTGTTTCTGGATTTTAGATGGAGAAGATAAGACGAGCAAATCGTTTGTTCGCATCGGATAGCTTGTTTTTACGAGAGTATCTTTTGATTCCTGTAACCAAGGAATCTCCGTTTTACGAGAATGGAGAAAGAGTGACAGAGGTAGCATCTTCGAATCACCGTGCATCAATCGCGGGAATGCCTACACGAGATTTCTCTCCTGGCAGTCCAGATGAAAAAGAATCCTTTGACAACTTCCTGAATAGGCTTGACTCTTCAATTGCAACTATAAAAAAACATGTTGAAAAAACGAAGGAGAACAGCGAGTAAGTGTTTTTGTTATTTTAACTTATATATGAATTTAAATCTAGTCCATAATATATACTTTTTGTTTAACATGAGAAATCTTTGTCTAATTAGTAATTTATTGGACAATACTGGTCTTATTTATTTAAAATTAATAAACTAAATATGTATTGAAAAATGGCTGTTTTTATGCCTTTATATCATTCAAATAATAGGTTTTAAATGAAAAGTAGTTCATGGCATATTTTTATCTCTTGCAAGTGATTTATTGAGATATATGTATTCTAATCATAGGACAATGACCCCAAAACTGATTAGATTCATTCTTCCTCTGCATGTGTAACATAAATATTGTTTGCTGCATATCTGCTGTATGAATAGTAGTGGAAAGTTTGCTCAACCTTAATTGTCTGTTCTCTTTTTATATTCTTGAAGTTTAAGTATCTTGGCAAGTTTAACCATAGTATTACAACATTTGAGTATGTTTTGTGCCTTCAATGTGGCACCTATCTTTGTATTAATAATCTTGTTATATTCTTTCCTGATAATATTATTTAATAACCAAATTTTTAGAATGTACCGTTGTGATAAATGTCATCATTGGGTAAATACTTGACACTGGGAGCCAGGCATGCTGATAAGTTATGTTTACAATAAAGATAGATAATTCAATATTTGTATAACTTAAAATTTATGTACAAAAAAAAAAAAAAAAAAAAAACTTGTCCTGCATGATATTTAAGGATACCAATGAACTCAATCTAGTCTTTCAAAACACACACAAAAATTTCCAGAATATAATATAAACATTAATCATTATTCATTTCTATACTTATAAGATTTTTGGTATCTTTGCTTATGTCTCAGAAACTTTTTAGCATATTTATATTGCATAGTGAGTTTTTGTACAATTGATATCGAGCAGTTGCAAATTATGAAAAAAATTGATATAACAAATATAATAAAGAGAAAACGAATATAAGACAGGGGGTTATCATCATGTTATTGGTATAGATAGATACAAACAGGTTTGAATGATTATTAAAAAGTCATCTTAAATTTTAAAATATCTCCTGCCAACAATATTTAAGCTATAACTTTTTTGCAGGCATGTCAAGGTTATTTGCTAAATTTAATTATACATTAAATATTAAGGTCAGGCGCTATTGTTGAGTTTCAAAGTTTTAAAAGAAATTTTACAGAATTAAATTCCATGTATTAACTCTTTTTTACAATTATTTATTATAAAAACTGTTTCATGTGCAAAACAACTTACTTTGTCAACCATACAACCATACAATGATAATATTTATTAAGTTTGTCATAGAATAATAATACATATTTAACTGTTGTCAGTAACAAACTCATGCCTTGAACAATTTCCAATTCTTTGAAAATTACATAAAAATATTTTTTTATGTAAAGATATACTGAATCTTTTCTGGCTTTTATGACATTATAATGATTGAAAACAGCTGTTAAACATTGTACATACATATTTGAAATTTGTTCTAATACATTAATTTAATTAAAAATTTCTCAGTCCATTGTTATATTGGGACAAGTTTAAACAAAAGTTATGTATTATGATACAAATCACTGCATAATTGTTACCGTCTGAACGTAAGGTACTTTCTATTGCATTGACTTAGTCACATGACTCGAAGATCGCCGTCCCGTAAAAGGTGATCTTAGTCCGAGTTTACACAAGCGACACAAGTTTTGTTACCGTAAAATATGGCTTTATTAGAAGAATAATTATTTAATTTTAGATTTTAGTTTTTTATTGGTATACCTTAATTATTTTGAAACTAAAGCAGCTATGACTAATTTTGATATTACTAGAATTATCTCCTAATCACCATATTAATGCTACGATAGAATTATATAATATTAAATATATGCAATTTTACTTTACTGTAACATTACCCATTTTTACGATTCACTGCGTATTTTTTGTTTTATTACGGCTTAAGATCACATGATATTTGTCGTTGCGGTAACTGTGTAATGTGTATATCTTGAAGGACACAATTCGTTACTACTTAGAATCGAATTATATCATACCAGCATTTGTATGGAAATATTTTTCTCTAGATTTTTGTTATAAATGAGATATAATTTCTAAAAAGATTATAAAGTTGCATATTATTATGCAAATATTGAATTCTCACAAATGATCTCACATAATATTAAGATTAAAAATCATTTTGCATATTGATATGCTGTGTTTATGTATTATTTATATTTAGTCCGTGTAAACCAGATTTATCTAGTATAAATCTGTGATAGACATATATGAACTTTTAAAATTTTTGTTTTACCGTAACAGAGTAGCAATCACAGACCCGTACGTAAGATATGTATTACAATTCTTAATTTAGGCAATTTATTTCGTCGATATAGGCTATAGTTAAAAGTGAGGATAGTGTTTTAGTATAGTGTGGTTTCATATGTTTAGATCGTTTGTATGAACTGTTTAATTAGAATAGTGTTTTCGACTGCGCAATTAATTGCTAATTAAAAGTACAGTCACATGCGATAAAAAATGACGAAAAAGTAATTATCTAATTAACGTAATACCCCTTGATAACTAAAACACACGCAAATTGTTTTATATTTAAACTGATAATCGCATAAGCAATTCTACATGACATACAATTCTAACCGTGAAACCCGATTATGTTTTGCATCAGTGTGGACCTTTTAACTTTTTAGTTTAATGAGTTTTGGCTCAATACCTCTAATCTCATTCTCTTCAATATAAATATATGTATAAAATAAAATAAAAAATGTTAATAGTTATGAATAATGACTCACTGAAATATCTTATGTCGTAAAGATCGAACATACCAATACATCATTTAGTAAAATCAAAATATATTTTTTTATATAGATAGCACTATAATGCTTCTAAATTTACATTTTCTGCTACTGCAACTAGCAGTTCTCCGTCACTCGTAATCTCCAAGGGTTTTTACAAGTTGTAAGGAGCTGCGACCTCATCTTGCAATTAATTATAACAATGCAAAATAAATAACAAAATCATACATTTAACCTCTTTATAAGCCTGCAATATTGTTTAACTCTAGTACCGTGGAGTCACATGTCTATAAAACTGTATGTCAAGAATCTTTTTAAATATTTTCTTTATTTGAAGTATTATATTTCACATTGTCTAGTGTTAGTTTGCGAGCTAATCGTAGGATTAACTATGGAACGGGATATTGCGCATTTGCCTTCTAATGTTACTGACTTAGGGATTTCAAATGTATGAATACTATTTTATATTTTAACGTCTATTGAAAAGAAATAATGTGCCGTTACAACGATTATACAAGATTCTCACAGTAAAAAAGCAGAATACAACATTTAAGAATATTGTAGTAGAGTTTTGAAGTAATGTTAAAAATAGATTATTAAATAAAGACGAAAATGGCAGCTTAACCACAGAGCAGGAAAACGAGGCTCCTAACAATGCAATTCTTATCATTCGGTGTATAACAGCTGCTTTTTTACATAGATAAATTATCGTACGAATATTTTTATTGAAAAAGTTGGGATTATCAGTCACAGTTTGTATGATGTGAACGAATATATTTCGAGGCGGAACATTTTTACGAAGCTAAAATTGTATTAATTAGCTTGTCTGCTGACCGTTTAGCACACGATTTGAATTACTGTTTCATTATTCTGGGTGAAATAAGTGCGAGCTAGGGTCCTTTTTATAATATACTAAAAATAAGACAGGATATTCGATATTCGGATTTGATATTCGGTCTACAAGAATGTTTCGCATAAAATATATTATCAGTTTAAAAGGTATTTAGTATCACAACAATGTTATAAGTAAAATAATACTAGCTTCGAACTTCTTTCACGATATTACCTTTCCCACTAAATTTCCTATGATTTTATTTTCCCACTCATTTCGTTGTGGGGTCCACACATTTACATCTCATCTAGCGATTTATTTATTATTGTTTAATGTGTCTAAATAAAATGTTTATCTTGGACCCATATTTTCAGTCCAGTTGAAATTTTGTTTAGACTTCAGATATGAAATTGGCCGAGTTGTTTATGAAAATAAAGCCTTTATTTATTTATTAAGGAAACAAACAGATACATCTCTATACAGTAAATAAAATAAAAGTAAAACATAAAATAAACACATTGGACATATCCACAAAAAGTTTCACTGATAAATATGAATACAATACAAAGTAAAACAAGACAAAACATGACAGCACAAAATTTATAAATTAGGAGAACGACAAACAAACAGCAGCTATATAAAAAAAAACAAGGAAGATTAAGACATTAAGTGTTTTAACTTATTCTTAAACGAAGCAGTAGAGGAGTGCGAAGAAGGGTCAATGTTAGTGGCAGAATCCAAGGCAGAACACATCCTGTGAAGAGGCTCACGGAACCCAATGTTGGTTCTGGGAGTCGAAAGGTTAAAAGTTCTGTGCGAGCGCAGAGATCTGGCAGGAACATTAAATGGTATCAGTTCGAGAAGATTGGAACAAGTTATTTCATTTACGCATATTTTTCTAATAGTGACACAGTCTGTCAAATTACGCCTAGTACTCAAAGAAAGTAATTTATATTTTTTTTAAAGTTCCTTATATTTAGACCTACCACCATTCATTCTTTAAATCAGATCCGTCAGATTTAGACCCCACAGCGCCATATTTTATTAATGTCATACGGGAGTTAAGTATAACGCTAAGTCTCGATTCTAAATCTTACATTAAAACTAAAGTATCGGAATGATTCACGTATCAATATATATTTACACACCGTATACTTCATAAACAACTTTGTTTACATTTTCTCGAAGATTGCTAGCATTCAAAAATATTTTATAGGAAAATAACACTAAAGTGCTTGAAATAGAATGTTATCGTTGTTGTGTCTACTTTGTTAAGCTACGAGTGTAATATAATCCATAATAAAGAGATATGACAAAAACACATAATGTAATGTAAACTATAACTTGGTGGTACATGGTTCCATCGTTGTTGTGTAGGTTGAAAGTTAATTATCTTGAAAGTTCTTGTTTAAGATAAGATATGTATCCATAGCTTTATTAAAGTTATGAGACTCCAAATATGACATAGTTTTAATAAAACGATACCTTTATTAGATAACAGTCGTTATGCGAAATAATCGAATCTAGTAAATAATGTCGTAATTTCGGTAGTTGTATTTAAATGTGTATGACTATTAATGGAGCAGTGTTGGCCTAGTGGCTGCGTGCGACTCTCATACCTGAGGTCGTAGGTTCGATCCCCGGCTGTGCACCAATGGACTTTCTTTCTATGTGCGCATTTAACATTTGCTCGAACGGTGAAGGAAAACATCGTGAGGAAACCGGCATGTTAGACCCAAAAAGTCGACTGCGTGTGTCAGGTACTGGAGGCTGATCACCTACTTGCCTATTAGATTTAAAAAATGATCATGAAACAGAGTCAGAAATCTGAGGCCAAGACTTAAAGAGGTTGTAGCGCCACTGATTTATTTATTTTATGACTATTAAATATTCAGTTATGGAAAAAAATTATATAAAACAATTTTGGAAACTTTTATGCTCATAATAAAGTAGATAAAAATATATTAAATGTGTGATATTCTTAATCGGTTATTAATTAAACTATTAGCTTGTATAGTAAAGATGTGACTCCGTGGACTGACTTTTGGGATGGGAATTTAAGTGCAATTAAAAACAAGATTTTTGACGAGAATAAATTGTTGAAATGTGTTCAAGTGTCTTGGGTTATTTAATGTTTTAATTTCTCAAGGTTGCTCGAATAATGTTTAGCACATTAGTCATATTCCGTGTTGTGAAAAATTTTATTAACAACTTTTGGCTGTTTTACGACTGGTTGAAAATATGCGAAACGATTTGTCTGAAAGTGACCGTTATCTCGACCGGATAAGGTTCACATTCATTCAATCTAAGAACCAATTGTCGTGCACTAGGTTATGAGGCTATAAATAAATTGTGTGGGTTGTGAATAGCGATCTTATATGATCCTATCTTATCAGATTGGTCCTTATTTGTACGCCTACACGGGGCGATTATGTATATCCCCCTGAATAATGCGATTTAAGTTCTGCAATGCAACGATATTATTTCCTATCAATTACCCTCAATAAGTAACAAGATAAACTTATAATGATATATACTACTACATCTAAATAAAACTCATTTACGTAATGAGAGTGAAGAAGGAGACGAAAAGAGAAATACACTTTATATAATGGAGATTTACAACAAGAGGCCTTTTTAAAAGATAGCAGGCTCAACGTCGAATCGCACAGCAAGTGTAATATTAAGGAGTCTTTGTCGAAGAATAATCTGTAGCAGAAAGTATTATGTTATATTTAGCTATAATTTATTTCGTATTCCAATCTTAGCTTTCATGTGCGCTTGCAGTTTCGACTTGCCATAGTCAAAACCCTGTACCTATAAATTATGACATTTACACGAATGTCATAATCAAATGTGTTGATTTTTTATCTCATCTTCTCCAATTCCAGATTCGTAGATTTCGAAGACGACTTTGTGCGACATCGTCCAACCGCTCGGCTGCGGCAATCGGCATCTATGGGTGCTTCTACGTCGTATAATGAAGTAATACCGCCGCCATTGCCGCCTCCCCCTGGGCTAACGCACGGCCGACGTGTGGATACCTCACTGAAACGGCTCGAAAGGGCACACGACGACCTCTTTCAGTTGTAGCGCCCGATATAGCGCAGGTATTTACAAATGTTACCTTTTTATTAATAATATATAAGTTATAATAATATTAATATATAATATAATAAAAAAGTGCATCTTACAGCTAAAAGCAGTTTCTTTCAGACAACCCGTCTGTATAAAGTATAGTTCGTTTAAAATTGTGGTAATGGCTTTTTTAAATTTACATTATTTTGTTCATGCAGCATAATTACAGACATAGTAAGAAATTAAATAAATATTATACATTATTGACATACTTAGTTAGATTTTATTTTCAATTTAAAATAGATGTTTTAGCTAAACGATATTTATTATATTCTTTAATAATACGAACAAATTATATTTCATTGCATTATTAGTCAAATTTCTATAGACTATTCGTGTCATTGTCACTTATACAACTTACAACACCCGTGGACCTCAGAGATAACCCCAAAGAGAACATTGCATCTAAGATACGATGAGAGAATTATGCTTTAAAAAAATATGCCATGCGTGATTTGTTCAGCCGTCGTAAAAATGGAATGGTGTAAGCAGAAGCGAACAGTCTTGGAAAACAATAATATCTCCTCTTACTAGTCGCTTACACTGAGATTGATCAGTGTCGACATAATTGATAGGTTGAGTAATTTATTTATTGATGTCCATGATGAATTATCTTCTAGTTCTCTACAATTTATCTATATAAGTTATATATAGTTATGTTGTATTTTCAGATATGCGCGTTTCTAATGAGCACGTCTGCGATGAGGGCGCATCTGTGATCGTCACGTTTCTTGCGTATGCATACGTATACGTAAAGCGAACGTAACGGCTGCTAAACTGACACATTGGAGGGGTCTGAGAGTGATATTAGATATGTTATGATCTGTTTAACTAGTGTTTGCATCTGGGAGGTACATTTTAACTTTTCTCAATAATTTTTGTTGCACGTTTTAAAGTTATACGTTTTGTATCTATTAGTTCGAAAGATCGCTGCCACGGAGAGGAATTCCTTATTTTTTTATGGATAGATTTACCTCCCAGGAGTATCTTATTTATTTTTTATTTTTACTTATATAGTTACTCATTGTTCATTTGCATTTAACGTCATTAATATTGTAACCAATTTTTTTGACGCAAAGGAACAGTCTCTTGCATAATTCGTTAGGCATAAGCTACACTGTGTAAAAATGTATAGAAAAAATATTTTTATAAATTTTCTGTTTCTTAACTTCTCAAATTGCGGTCTCTATGGCTTAACCATTTTATTCCATGGTATTAAAAACCGTACAACTACAAACAAAGAAACAAATATTAGCCTTCCAGAAGTTTTCTATGCAATGGTCTATTGTTCAGTTAGTAAATCCGATTTTTTCAGTTCATATCATTGCAGATCTTTATTTGTAATAGATGCTAGTTGGCATATAAGTTACCTGCTGTATCTCTTGTACACCTTAATACCTTAAATTAAAACTTCTTTAACGGATTTAAATGCGAATTTAATGTTTAGATAGTTTCAAGTGCTTCTTACCAATCCAAGCATTAGTTGGACGCTCTACATAGAGTCTGATACAAACCATATAGCAGCTCCGTAATGATGAACAGAAATATAAGTATTTTCCTTATCCAAAATACTCATCTATAGACATGATCTACTAAAGTAATATATCATAGTAGGTAAACGACATTATCACGCTTGGTCACGTGACAATTTCCATACAAATTGGTTTGCGCGTAATCTGTGACTAACTTCAGACTGTTTAATTTGCTATAATACTTTCCAGTGCTATGCTAGTTTTAACATAGATGAATCACGAGAACGCGTTATGATAAAAGATAAAACAATAAATGTCAATATATTATGAAGCCATAGGATGCTATACCAAAATTGTTTTCTTGTTGTTCTCATAATACATAATAATTCTAAATAATGTATTAAAAGTGTTTATTTTGTTATCTAAACTTGTCCAACTATACTTAAGGTTATTTGTGCAATAATTTTGGTCACAATGTTGTTAGTGAACCTCGTTATATAACGATATCGACGTTTTCATTTGGTTGGAAATCTGTGATTTGAACTTCGCACGTTTAATTGATTTTTATGCATTCACAAGAGCTTCTTCAATATACACTTTTAATGTTATGCCAATCGCAATATTATAATAATTGACGGAATTTGGATTATATTAAAGGGTTACGTCTAGAGATTTCACTGTTTTGTATGGCTGAAGTCCAAGGCCACTAGCCACTTGCCTTTAAAGTCTGTAGAGTCCAAGACATCCTTTAATTGTACTAATATAGTTATCCTAGATAATCCTTTATTAATAAAGCTACAATTTGTTAATACAAATAATTTTGTAATGTTGATATTTTGACGTTATTCTGATAGTATTCAAGCTTACCAGGGCTTAAGATAAAATCACCCATTAAAGCCAAACTAATTTGTATGAAAATGGTCACGTGACAAGCTAATGTCATTTGCATATAGTGAGTGGATCACGACTGTTGAAAAGTGATTTTGTCTAAAGTCCAAAGGGTCGCAAAGCAATACAACACTTATATCATAGTATCCCATTGCAGTAAATACTTGATAATGTCACAATTTATACTTTAGGCCTGTTTAAAATAATATCTCAAATTACGTGATATTGCGCTAGTCATTTTCGCGCTTGAAGATATTATAGACACTGGCTTATTAAAATATCGTGTTAAAACGTCATATATTATCAAATCAAAACATAATATAGCAATTACTCTTCGTTGAGTCGGATTGTACAAAAAACGGTCGGAGTTTTCTTTGGTCTTTTATAGGTTTAAAAACATTATATACTGCTATAAACAATTAGCGGAACAAAATTTTTCTCCTTTCTATTGCTTAAACTAAAATTAGATTTAAATTAACTTGTACGCTATTTTTTACCTTGTTAATTTGTTAATTACTACAATTAATAAAAAAAATCAATTTTTTTATTAAAAAAATAAATAAAATGTGCATTGTAGACGAAAAACTAATTGGTGATAAAAAAGGTTCATCAAAGAAATATTCTTATATCGTTTGAATATTCGTCTTTAGTGTCTTTCAGTAACGTGTGTGGCCTCCATGAGCCCTAATCACGGCTTGACAACGACGCGGCATGCTTCGTATGATCCTCCGAATATCTTTTGTGGAATTCGCTCCCATTCTTCAATCAACGTTCAGTGAGCTGTGAGGTTGAGGTGCAATCGGACGCTTCCGGATGCGCCTGTCAAGCAAGTCCCAAATGTGCCTGTCAAGCAAGTCCCAAATGTGTTCAATTGGATTTAGGTCAGGGCTCATGGAAGGCCACTCCATTACACGGATTTCCTGCTGTCGTAAGTAATCTGACGTGATGGCTGCAGTATGCGGCCTGGCATTATCTTGAATTAAAAGAAAATCTGGGCCCACACCATATGCTGCGGGCCAAACATGATCTTCGAGCACATATTCAATGTAAGTTTGAGCACACAAGCGCCCGGGAACAACGACGAGATCTGTGCGCTCGTCCAAACTAACTCCGCCCCAAACCATCACAGAGCCACATCCAAACTTGTCATATTCCTGGACTGCTGCTGCACTGTATGTCGCCTGGGCGACTGTAAACACGGAGACGACCATCGCAACGTGTTAGACGGAATCGTGATTCGTCAGTAAAAGCACTGGCCTCCAATGTCGAAGTTGCCAATTAGCGTGATTTTGCGCGAACTGTCGGCGAGCTTGCTATGTTGAATTTAGACGCACAGCCCGACTGGTCGGCGTGATCTCAAATTGGCTTCCAACAACCTATTTCTTACCGTCGGTCGGAAATTTCTACACCAGTAGCCGTCCTTAGTGTATTTTGTAGTTGTGGTGCGGTTACGTAAAGCACTTGACGATGTAGCGATCTTGCAAACGTGTAGTTTTTCTCTTTCGACCTTGACCACGCCTTCGTGAGTATTCTCCCGTCTCACGGTATGCTTCCAAAGTCTGTAGATAACAGAAGGGGCTACTCCTAGATATTTCCTACATAACGCATAGTTCGACCCTCTTCAAGCAAAGCGATAGTGGAGACATGCAATTCAGTCAGATCTGGCATTATGACCTAAACTCACTCGCTTCAATGAATAACAATACTCAAAAGGCTCACTTCAATTTCTATTAATACTCAAAAGATTGAAAAAAACTACTTAAAATGTGTTTTCTGTGATTAGAAAGTAATGAAAATTCAAAGACGTCACTTTGTTTTTCGTCTACAATGCACATTTTAATTTTTTTAATAAAAAAATACAAATTGATTTTTTTATTAATTGTAGTAATTAACAAATTAACAAGGTAAAAAATAGCGTACAAGTTAATTTAAATCTAATTTTAGTTTAAGCAATAGAAAGGAGGAAAATCTTGTTCCGCTAATTGTTTTGAGCAGTATATTTCCGGTGTACATTGTCCGTTTTAAAGTGGTACGACCCCTTCAAATGTTATTGTTATTGAATCTAATGCCATAAACTTATCTGGTCCGGTTCAATTGGGTCAGATAAGTTTGTGGTAAATTTTCGTTTTAGTCTAACCAAAATTATATATAATTGTAAAACAACAAACGTTGTTATTCTGCTTAGTTTCTTACGGAGAAATATAGATGGCGCTTTACACAACTGTTATTGATTATTAAGAATATAGGACATAAAAGTTAGCCTACCTCAACCCTGGGGCCGAGCAATAGATCCTTATGTGTCTGGCTAAAAATAACAAAATGTTTGTCTGTGAAGTCGGTTTACGGACGATAGTTTAACGTGACATAACAAAACATTGATGAAATGTGTGCATACTTAAGTCTTCGAGTGGAAGAGAGATAGATGCGGCGCAAGCGTACAATGAGCGTAACGGGACAATGAGTCATGCTATTTCGTGCGTACAGCCGGCGTTCATCGATTTATTAGACCTTGTCACGTCAAAACTAATCACCTAATTGCCTTCATAGAAATTATTAATGATGCATAATATTCACGTTCAGAGTCCAGATTTAGCGCCAAGGCTGTCAAAAACATATTGGATTCGTCATATGATAGTCACTTAGCGCTAAATCTCGATTCCGAATGATACCCTAAGATACAAAGGTATTGCGCCTCTGGATTTATTTATTATCACCTACCTGGACTAAGTAGAAAAACAGATTTTGTTACGTTGTTATTAGAATTAGACTTGTAAATTAATGTTGTTTATAAAGATTCGTTTAGTCATCGTGTCTCGGTGGAAAGTATAAATATTAGACTAAATTAAAAGGCACTAAATAATTCTGTGTTAATAATCAATGTTGAGCTTTATAGTATATAATAAGCTATATGTATAAGTGTAATGCTGTACATATTGGTGAGTTAACGTTATACATTTTTAACATATACATACATAATGTATGAAAGCTGTTTGTTTACCAAATTATCGCTTTATAAAATTTATAAGAAAAATAAATATATTGGAACTTTTATTGTGGTTTTATTTAAGGATTACAGCTTTAAGCTTTAAAGCATAATTAAAAGCTTTGTTTAAATGTAATTTATTTTCTTTAAAAAAATATATAATAAGATTAAGTTAACTTAAAGGTTTTTTGCAAGGAATAAAAAGACTTTTTTATTTTTATTATTATAGCTGTATATATTTTTAGGAACGGAAAATGTTTACATTTATACAATTTTTAATCGACCTATTTGGCGATTAAAACATTTTCTAACGATATTCAAAATTTAAATCACTTTATCAAATTCAAAACTCGTGACTTCTGGTGAAACGAGTATCTACGGCTGCTTTGTTAAGAGATTAAAAAAACACTAATACAAATCAAATGACGGAAACGGAGTATATATTTATCCTCCTTTCTAGCACCGCAAAAGTGGTTTAGGGAGCAATCGCGACTTTAGCCCCGAGACCACTATAGAGAGGTTAATTATAAAATAATCTATACTTCGGTTCACAATTAAATAAATTATTATTTAATGAGAAACTCTACTGATTTTTTTTTCTATTTTATTTGGAAAATAATTTGGGGCCTCTAAATCCGGCATTGCACTTCTGTATAGAACAATTTTAACTGCGCCTATCAATATTCAAACTATTGCTTTTAACTATGACGATGTGGAAACTTGTAATTTACCTATATGGCATAAGTAAAATAAAAATTATATTATATTAACTTCATTTTAATTTGTTTCACTATTTATTTATTTTTATATTTAAATTATTATAATTTATTCTTTATATTGCTGACACAGTAAATGTCACAGGCTCATGAAATACAGTTTCCACTGCAACTGAATACCCTATGATAATATGAAAGATTTTTGTTATGTGACCTGTATATGACAATAAATTATTATTAATACATATATATCTGCCTATAATCTATATCTGTTTTAAAAATCTTTGTCCTTTCATATTTTTTTTGTTATACCTTATAGCAAGGATATTAATGATGTTTAATAAAATAATATACTTCAATTTTTTTGGTCTCATTCGAAACTCAGGCAAAACAATAAAATTACAAAGAAAACTAAGATACCTTTATTTTCAATACAAAAAGGATTATTTACACGATAACAGTACCTTATTTAAAAAAATTATAATATAATTTTATTACAAATAAACTTAATTTATGCAATGGTTAAAACAAAAATTTAAAATTTCTTATATAATACAATTTGAGGGAAATAATTTTAGGGTAACTACACTAATAAGAATTGTGAATAAATAGGTATATAAAATTAGCAGGTACCTAGATAATACTTATTATGCATTAACATTATTTTTGTGAGATACATTTTTATACTTATAACAAATGAGGTTAAAATGGGCAATCATATAATTTCACTAAAACTCGTAGGCAATAAGAAATAAAATACTGTTGTAAGAGTAAAACTTTTGCCATAATGGAATAGAGAGAAACTGTTGCTATGTGTTTGTTGTTGTTGATTTATGTAATTTATACAGTAAGGCAAAAAAAACTAAACCACGCACAGATTACATATCCTGTATTGTCTTTGTCAAAACAAAAGAACATCAAAACGATAAAATTTCTGGTCTAATACATTATGTATACGTTGCTTGTATTTTTGTGTTTAATATTTCTGTTAGGTTAACATATATGTTTAAAGTTTTTGAAGTGAAACTTCTTTATCGACGTATGGGAGAAATTTATGTAAAAAATCGTCACGTGAAATTAGTCGGATTACTTAAGTAAATGCAATTAATGAAATTCTGTAATAATCTTAGTAGTAATAAGGTAAAATGTAATTATTGCATTATTTGAATTCATGTCATATTTTCTAAAAATAAGGTCATAAAGAAGTTTCACTTCTTACGTGTGTACACTAGTACACTCATAATTTTTTGTTAAGTAATTTTATGTAAAAATGTCACAAACATCATTACGAAGTCGCCTTGGGCTCCTAATTTTCATTTAGGGTTGCAGCAGTATTTTTTCTCTTACGATACATTAAATTACAAACCAATTTTATAACTAATCTAGGTGGGCGCTTCCTGTATTTGAATATCTTTATTCTTTCTATTTAGCAAAAAATCTAAATCATGAGAAATTTTATTAATCATTTGGTCCGTTGGAGAATCGTACACCTGATTCCACTTAATATTAATTAACTCTATATTTGTTTTTAGATTTTCCTCGGCTGGTAATGAAATACTGGATGTGAAAATTTTTGGTTTTTTCAAACAGCTTTTTATTGGAAGGGATATGTCTGGGTTAGATTGGCATAAGGTGCATCTAGGTATGTTGAGATCTGTGAAATTAATTTTAAAGGGTCTTACTTTGTTAGGAGGATCGAAGTTAAGGATATCTTGTTTGGGGACTTTCAGCTCAATGTATGTGGAGCTTAAATCAGGCTGAGGGATGAGGTCGCAAAGGGCCCGAGTGTTAATTTTTCTCGGATTATGCGGGCTGGCGGTGTATTCGGTACTTCGCACTATATCAGCGCGACTATCTTGCGAATTTCTGTAAAACAAAAAGTTGTTACCGCGTCGTAAACAATATAGATTGTTTAATAAATATAACCAAAGTAATTGCGTTTTAATTTGTGTCGGCTGTTGCCTAGTACTTAGAAAATAATCAATCTACCTTGAATACGGTGTTAAGTTTGGATTTAAAAGCGTTCAATTCGATCAAATTTATTTTAACATTTCATAACACGTTTCAAACATCTTTGCAGTAGACGCAAATTACGCTACAGAAATATATTTATACATAATAATAATTATATCCTATAGTATTTATTTACTGTATAATGTGTTATTTGCTGACCTGTGAATCTTAGAGGGACTATCGAACCTCCAGTAAGAAGAGAGCGGAGTGATGGGAGAGGAACCGTCGAAGCCTAGACTCTCGGCCTCTCCGCTTTGTGCGATGTACACTGCAGAAGGAGGTTATGATAGTAGGCACCTATTTATATCATAATATGAAATACAATTATTGTGAAAAGAATCAAGTGTAAAACAGTGGCTAAATACTTGATTATTTTAATTCTAATAATAATATTTTAATAGGGATGTTTTTAGAAACACGTGTTCGTAAATATGGATTTTCTTAGACTTAGATTTGTAAGATTTATTCTCGATTAAAACTTTGTTTAATTCTTTAAATACAGTTTTAATAAACCGAGTTTTCTAAATTTGTTCTCTTCTTAATTGTCTACATGCATGACATGGCTATTGCTTGATTAATAGGTGTATTATTTGAATCAGTTGTAAATATAAACAACAATATTCATGTATCTTATATAGTAGGTTTTTAATTTGTATTGTACTGTATTGAATTTTTTAACTTGTATATGTTTTCATGTTATACTTTTCCAAATAAAATAAGTAATATATACCTAAAATACTAACAGCTTAATGTGGTGTCTCCTCGCTGCTTATTGCCTGAAGGAAGGGACATTAATCGACGCGCGAGTTGAATGCTGTCGTCATCACATAACACGTAGCAGAGGAACATTGACAATCCCTGAAATTATGAATATTCACCCTAATGTAAAGGAAGGAACGAAACGGCATTTTAAACACTGGTTGTGCGTTCAATCCCCCCCCTTTTACTTTATATGTGCGTAATTAAAGTAATTGCTTGTAGTAAAATAGCCAAGAGTTATTTCTCATCTCACTTGAAGACTTAAAATGATAAAGTTCTTATATTTACATACAAAACAGTTTCTAAATATAATTACGTATGTAAAAAAGTCCTTACATCAGCCAATGCGGTAACGGCAAGTCCGGCAACAAGGGTTAATTTTCGGTCACCAGGTTGCGCGTACGCAATGCTGGCCATCTGCGCGGCAGACGTCGTGACCAATAGGATGAGAGTATGACGGACTATGCGAATTCTGCAATGTGTAATTGTTTGTAAGTTAGCTCTATTTCTAGTCTAAAGGAAAGGTTATCTTAATATATATAAATTACGTGTCACGTTGTTTGTCCGCTATGGACTCCTAAACTACCGAACCGATATCAATCAAATTGGACTCCGTGTGTAGTTTGATCCAACTTAAAAGATAGGATAGCTTACATCTTAATTTATACCCGCGATATTATTTTATTGCAAAATACTTGTTTATTATTTGATAGTCACAATTCTAACACATGGCGCTGTGATGAAAGTACCAACGTTTCACATAAGCTACAATTTAATGGCATAACCACCAAAAAAGAATGGTGGTCCCCATGACTGGTGTTCTCCTACCGCTGCCCTTGAATAGTTTACTACTATGTAATATAAGAAAAACCATAGCCACAGCAACGCTTGGCCGGTCTGCTAGTAGTCATATAAAACATTCTCATGTTGGTACTTTATTTTAGTTTTTTAAATGACACATTACTAACTGACCCGTGTCTTTCGTTCGTTCGGTCTTAAGGTACATACCGTAATTTCTACTGTATCATATTTCTGTCTAAAGCAGTGTTTCCCAACCTTACGCCTTTAGTACACCTACGCAATCGCATGCGGCAGCGAAACGACGAAAAAACTGTAAGTTGTATGGCAACGTTTCGCATGTGTTTTGTCTCGCTCTATTATATAGCTAGATGAAATAGTTGCGTCCTTGTCGGTATTGTTTCGCAAGTAACTGCGAAATGGCTGTTACACAGACGCAGCCGTTTCGCTAGCGGAGTTTCGCATCGCAATGCGTCACCACACGTTCTGTCAGTGAGGACAGAATTTCGCACAATGGAAGCCGAAGATATTGAATTATTATTAAATTTGATTCGAAATTATCCCGAATTATATTAAGTTGGGCATTTTAATTACAAAAATGCATACAAAAAAGAGGTGGCATGGAGGAAAATTCAAGAAAAGACGGGGATAGATGGTAAGAAATAAAGCTACAATGACATTTCCTTGCGACAAAACTGCAGTGTACTAACGTTCCGCAGATATTTCGCTACCGCAATTATTTCGCAAAGACTCGCAGCCGCATACGAACGCGTAGGTGTACTAAAGGCGTTAGCCATTCTAAAATAATTATTATGCATGTAACATACATAGTTTCTGATATTAAATAAATTGTGCGTGTACTAGGTGTACACACGTAAGAAGTGAAACTTCTTTATGATCTTGTTTTTCGAAAAATGATCTACTATATGCAACTTTACAGAAATTCGTTAAATTAGATAAAGTTTAACAAAAGGCTTTTATTATCATAGACATGAATACAAATATTTCATTTTACCTTATTACTACGAAGATTATTATAGAATTTCATTAATTGTAATAGAATTATTACTATCATTGAAAAACGTGACGATTTGCTACAAAATTTCTCCCATACGTCGATAAAGAAGTTTCATTCCAACGCCGATAATGAAGTTTGACTTCAAAAAGCAACATGGCGCGTAACCGAAAAAGGTGACGCGTAACCGAAAAATGTGACGCGTAACGAAAAAATGTTACACTAAATTTTTTTCCAACCTCGATAAAGAAGTTTGACTTCAAAAATATAATTGTTCACTTAAGAAACTTAAATGATAGTTTTTAGGAAGTAATCACTAGGAAATTGTTGACGAAACACAATGAGTTAATTTTCAAAACATATAATCAAAAACTGTAATTTAAATTCAAAATTACTGTAATTTTGTGAGGTCCTTGCTCTTCATGCTTGCTGCACAGAGATTTTATATTATTATAATTATGTCATATCCTGCCAATTTCGATTGCCCCCGTAACAATCAAATTCCCTTTGGGGCGTTAGGAATCACTGGTCTAAAGTGTACATTGGTTTACATGAACTACATACTTCATATTTCAAAACCGAACCCTACACAAGAATGTTTACATACCTGTTACTTAAATAAGTCCGCCTCTCAGCCGGCACCTTGCGCTTAACTATGCGCATGTTATACGCAGCGCAAAACGCTAAAACCGCACATAGTAGCGTCAGCAGCGTACAGCCGCCTGCGCATATAAGTTGAGCACCAGAGCCTAGCTGTAGTGGGGCCCCACCCCATAGTCTAGCGCAAAGCCATACTATGGTACCGAAACCTGAAATTCAACGTGTACGTTAGAACACACTGATATATATGAATTCTGTTTGTTCTTTTTTTTTATGTAATTGCAGTCAAACGGGCAGGAGGCTCACCTGATGTTAAGTGATACCGCCGCCAATGGACACTCACATTACCAGAAGGCTCGCAATCGGTACGCTTTTTTCTTGAAGGACCCTAAGTCGAATTGGAAATAATTCAGTGGGCACCTGGTTCCACATAGTGTTGGTGCCCGGCAAAAACTGCCTTAAGAAACGCTCAGTTGTGAAACGACGGACGTCGAGGTGATACAGATGGTATTTGTAACCAGACTCCTTCGAAACGGCTTGATAGATTTTTGTGAATGAGAAAAGGTTATACTAGATTTCATAATTTTTTTACAGTAAATTTTTTGGATGTGGCATTTAAAGTACGTATAAATCTTATTTTTGATTCTTTTACCACCAGTCCCCGTTTGTGAATAGCGATATTAGTACTGTAATAATGTTCAACATGATGTAATTTAAGTAAATGGCGAAACAGAGTTTGCCGGCTCAGCTAGTTATGTATATTTTAAATTCAAAATAAATACCTGTTAAATAATATGCATAACTTTTTAAGTTATTATATGTGTTTATTTTGTACTAAAATATATATATATATATATATATATATATATATTTCATATGTGTAATTTAATATTTCGGATACAATGAAAATCAGTGCTGTCTTCAACAACAAGCAAAAGGCGGTTATACTTTTTTGTATTAAAACATATTTTAATATACAAAGAAGTTTTTCCATTACCAGCAAGTATTCCAACGGAGCTGGCTCTCTGTGGTCGTCCAGCTAACTCGGCTTGCAGTAATAAAGGCTGTGCGCAAAGTGCGGCACACGCGATGCACCAACTCGCTGCGCAAATCCACCCATATACACCCGGACACGATTCTTCCTAGAACAATATTTAAATGAGTGGATTCAAGTTTGGATTTATAAATGGGAGAATAATAGCTCTGGGGCACCAAAAAGCGATAAGATACGCAGTGTGTACGAGCCAAGGCTGTACATTTTGCTCACTCAGGCTTTCTTAGTTTTATAAGCGTGACGATTTCCAATGTACGTGCCAAGGCTGTACATATTGCTCACTCAGGCTTTCTTAGTTTTATAAGCGTGACGATTTCCAATGTACGTGCCAAGGCTGTACATATTGCTCACTCAGGCTTTCTTAGTTTTATAAGCGTGACGATTTCCAATGTACGTGCCAAGGCTGTACATTTTGCTCACTTAGGCTTTCCTAGTTTTATAAGCGTGACGATTTCCAATGTACGTGCCAAGGCTGTACGTCTTAGTTTTATAATGCGTGACGATTTCCAGTGCCATGTTTTGCCCTTAGGCTTTCCTAGTTTTATAAGGTGACGTTTCCAAGGCTGGCTGTACATATTGCTCACTCAGGCTTTCTTAGTTTTATAAGCGTGACGATTTCCAATGTACGTGCCAAGGCTGTACATATTGCTCACTCAGGCTTTCTTAGTTTTATAAGCGTACGATTCAATACGTGACAAGGCTGTCATTTTCGCTCATGTAGGCTTTCCAAGGCTTATAAGCGTGACGATTTCAATGTACGCAGGCTGTACATATTGCTCACTCAGGCTTTCTTAGTTTTATAAGCGTGACGATTTCCAATGTACGTGCCAAGGCTGTACATTTTGTCACTTGTTATAGTGCGATTTCAATGTACGTGCCAAGGCTGTACATATTGCTCACTCAGGCTTTCTTAGTTTTATAAGCGTGACGATTTCCAATGTACGTGCCAAGGCTGTACATTTTCGCTCACTTAGGCTTTCCTAGTTTTATAAGCGTGACGATTTCCAATGTACGTGCCAAGGCTGTACATATTGCTCACTCAGGCTTTCTTAGTTTTATAAGCGTGACGATTTCCGAGGGGGGCCAAGGCTGTACATTTTCGCTCACTTAGGCTTTCCTGTTTTATAAGTGACGATTTCAGACGTGCCAAGGCTGTACATATTTGCTCACTCAGGCTTCCTTAGTTTTATAAGCGTGACGATTTCCAATGTACGTGCCAAGGCTGTACATTTTCGCTCACTTAGGCTTTCCTAGTTTTATAAGCGTGACGATTTCCAATGATCGTGCCAAGGCGTACGGATTGCTCACGCCCTCGCCCCCCAAGAGTACAGCCAGACAGGCACTCTCTTCGACTGTTAAATTGATAAACAACCCGATGACCAAGGAACCGTACACAGCGCAAGAAAAGCTCTGGGTCTTCCTTATCATGTAAGATTTGACCTAGATTTTCACCATTTAAGAGGTTAGCTGATATAGCATGTTGCGATTTCAGGCAAGGGTTCAGTTTTAGTTTTATTTAGAATGCTGTCCCTACCTTGTTTAACCAGAAATAATCTTTTGTGACATAATAAAAATAAACATATTTTATTTAATAATCCAATACCAATTTATACATATTCACCTGCCTAGTATCGCATTCGAGTAACGTCAGCAAAGCAGCCGCATTTGACGCAGCAGTAACCATTCTTAAAATTGCCGCTAGTCTTGGGCCGCCAGATATTGCAGTCACGAACTGTATGAAGGCGGCCATAAGGCACAGTGCACCTCCCAAGCCAACCGTCACTTTAACAATTTCACCCAGGTCCCTTTCTGCATCTGTCTAGAAAATTTTTGTATTTAATGTACGTACAGCACTTAACTTTACTTACCCTGGTAATATTATAAACGCAAAAGTTTGTAAGTATGGATAATTTAGATTTTACTCTTTCACGTAAAAACTACTGAATGGATTTTAATGAAACTTTACAATAATATAGCTTATACATCAGAATGACACATAGGCTACAATTTATAAAGATATTGCGTGAATTGTCCAAAATATCAAGTATGTAGGAAAATATCTACTATCTGCGAGCTATTCTGGCGTGCGCTGCCAAAACATCTAGAGTTACACATAATATGTAATGTAAATGAAAATAGATACTTTAATCGGTTCTGGTATTTAAAGTGGATAAAATATATCTTTCACGCTACATCATTTGGACGTATATTATTTTAATCCTGCGCAGACGAAGTCGCGGGCACCAGCTAGTACATTTATAAATCATATTTCACAAAGAACATATGAAATAATGTGATTTTGACGTCTCATTCAAACGTTTGAAAATCACCAATTAGCAGTAATTACTTAAGATAATTCCTAAAAGATGTTTTATAAATTGACTCACGAGTGTGGAGCGTGCAACAGTGAAGAGCGCGTACGTAGCCAAACCACGACATCGACAAGAAATGTGGCTTGGCTCAGGGACCCTCACTTCGCACGCATTTATATCCCAAGTCGAAGGATCTGTTGCGGTTCGTAAGCCGCAGGCCAACTTCGATTCTGAAAAGTATTATTAATATACACCATCTCTATCTACAATTTACGTTTTTGGTAGTTAATAATTATCTGCGTGATTCCATACTATAACTATCCTACGAATATTGAAAAAAAAAAGAAATATAAATTGGGTTTCGTCCTTAGATCACATTGACATGTGCAATTTTCAGAAGGTAACAATCAAAGTTAACTATTGGAAATGTTTACAGTAGCCCTGTGATAAAGAACGCAATTATAATAATTTTCTGGCTCGCATCTCACGTACGTACTCTATACGTACCAATAGCGGTGTAATTCTTTGCATGTGTGAAAAGCAGTGTGACTATATATTGGGCATCATGCCCACCATACGCTCGAACTTGAGATTGTGAAGACGCCATATTGTATTCAACTTCACGATCGCCCCTGTAATGTATCATTGAATATATGTAATATTAAATAAATTACACATCAATCGCGATACTATTTAACATTATCTATTAAAATTTATTGAAGTGAAACTTCTTTATCGGGGTTGGAAAAGAATTTAGTGTAACATTTTTGCGTTACGCGTCACATTTTTCCGTTACGCGCCATGTTGCTTTTTGAAGTCAAACTTCTTTATCGGCGTTAAAATATGACATATAGTATGTTTTTGACTTTGAAGTTTGACAACGGATTACATTTTCGAAGTCTAACTTTTTTTCGGGTTAAAATATGACATATATATTTTTGACTTTGAAGTTTGACAACATTACATTTTGACTTGAAATTTGCTAATCCAATTTGCAGCAATTAATTTGTAAATTGTTGTGGAGTGTATAAAAATTTATGTGTTTAAATAAATAGTTTGAAAAAGGTCATAAAGAAGTTTCACTTCTTACGTGTGTACACCTAGTACACGCACACATTTTTTATTATAAAATAAGTTTCGCACTCTTGCACTAGCAAACTGTTCTTTTTTTCCTATCGTTTTTGCTTTTTTAATATTAAGGCGTCGTACCATGTAAACGTTTTTAAACTTAACTATTTTTTTCTTCTTGTACGTGCAATAAAGTGTAAATAAATAAACGTTAAACTTGTTTTCAAGGCAAGTACATTTTTGACAAAAATTTAAATTTGTAAATTAATATCTATAGCAAATTTTGACTTAATTGATCACACCGTTACGTATCTAATGAGTGCTATCGTACTTTTTTGACGTAATCTAACTAAAAAGAGATCACGTATTTAATAGCAAAATTTTATATATACCTATAAATTTTCTACGTTGGGTCAAAAACCTTAAATGTGACTATTAAGAAAATCGTAGTTCGACAAAGAGACAGCACTTTTTTTTATCAAAGACACAATTGTTAGCTGAAATACGCAATAACCGAGTTTCAAGATCTTTTAGATTTTATTTCTATGACTGTTCAAAGTCGCTATTAACTGTACTTACATAAGTCCAATAGATCTTCGCAAAGAAGGTAGGCAAGACGACAGATCCTTATAATTAACTACAGCCATAGACACGTTCCCCTGACCCTCTACTTCCACGTCCATAGATGTCAATAACCATTCTTCAGAATTCGGGCTTAATGGGAAAACGAAGTGTGCCTTGTCTAATACTAATCTGACTTCTGCAGAATAGTCTTGGCCCACAAAATGAAGCTCTTCCTTCATTGTCGCTGTGTCCACTATTGCGTTTTGGAGATCGTAAATTTTCTGAAAAGATTTTCAATTGTATAACATACTAATTTTTTTTCTTTTCAGCGGACTAAATCGAGAGGTTTACCAACTCCCATAATCATGGATATGGAATTCAATATTGTATTTCTGGCTGTTGGATATTGTTTTATATCTTTAGGCTTTGCAACCATCACTATACAAGAATAATAAGCAACAATACAAATTTATGTAGTCTGTTCCGGGTATATCCCTTTAAGATTTCGCATCGCAAAGGAAAAATTATAGAAAAATTTTAAGCAATGCCAAGCTATCTACTGAAACAGAGAAATTGGATTACATTTTGAAACGCAAAATCTATATACTTTTAACTGATAAAGAAATGATTAAAAATAAAATAAATCAGAGGTGCTAGAACCTTTTTAGGTCTGGGTCTCAGATTTCCATATCTGATTCATGATCATTTGTTAATCTAATCTTTAATTAGGTGATCAGCCTCCTGTGCCTGACGCACGCCGTTGACTTTTTGGGTCTAAGGCATGCCGGTTTCCTCACGATGTTTTCCTTCATTATTCTAGCGAATGTTAAAATGCGCATAGAAAGAAAGTCCATTGGTGGACAGACAGAGATCGAACATATGAGCTCTGGGATGAGAGTCGCACGCTGAATCCAAAGCAATGATTACTATATAATATAATATACCTGCTCATCCAGGAACCCATCGGGATACTTTAGCAACATGTCGTATATCCTCAAGAGTGGTTCAGCACTTAATTCTCTATCTTTCCTCTGAGCCACGGGAGACCGGAGATAATTTAGGATATCAATATTATGGTGAAGTGGTACTGTAGCGGCACCCGGATGACTAGGCAGAGATCGGAGTATTGATCCGTATTGGCGTAAAACATCGTTTACGGGCACCCAGGAGTATCCGTAAGATATTCGAGTGAACTGAAATTGTTACAAAATATTATCTGCTCCGATGTTATGAAGTCAACTAAGGGCCCTTCAAGAAAAGCTTATCAATTCTTAAAAGGTCGGCAACGCACTCACGAGCGCTCTGGTATTGAGAGTGTCCACGGGCGGCGTATCACTTAATATCAGATGAGCCTCCTGCTCGTTTGCCCCCTGTTCTATAAAATATAAGAAAAAGTAAAGAACATACCGATAATTTTCGTCAATATATGTTTTCTTTCTAACACCACTACCACAAAACATGGCTTTATTTGTTTCAACTATGTCTGATAAAAAAGTAATTTTAAATATTCTTATCATTAAGTATGAAGTCTAACATTATTATGTATCAGTCAAGAGAAAATTCATTAAATCAACCCATTTGTTTAATCTGAACCCAAGTATGTATTTACCCAAGTATATGTGCGTGACTATCATTTCATTTAAAAGCAGGTACTTAAAAATAAAGTAGGTAATTAATGCCAAGATTGTTCAAATATTGGCAAATACACCTCGCAATAACCTAATAACATTGAGAATTTACCTGTTCATAAGTATCTTGTAATGATTCGTCGATGCAGCCGGAGAAATTTGGATGAGCCCACTTTACGCCAGATTGAATCGTTTTTGGTTCACAAAATCTGAAAAAATATATTTATAAATATTTTTATATATGATAGTTTTGTTACTAGCCAACATTTTTAATATTATTATTTTTTAAGTTTATTTCTATTACGACTTCTGTCACAATATTCTCCGTATCCGCAAAGAAATAATCTTTTAAAAAAAAACTGTTAAATCGGTACAAATTCAGATTTTTTTAAATGAAAGTAAAATATATTATAATTATAACTACCTTGTAGTTTCACCAGTATATCCAACTGGGCAGTTAGCCACAGTATGAGCACCTGGAGCGGTTTGAGGCCATCGTATACCATGGGAGGGTTCACTTGGACACACATCTTCAGTTGGGCTCAGTGCCCACACTGTGACGGATTTAGAGTTGGCACCAGCTGCTGATGACACTTGACAGCTGTATTCACCGGATTTCTGCAAAAAGAAAATAATTTTGATAGTGTTATTCGTGTAATACTAAATTGTACAATAATTAAAATGCGTAGAATTTTAAGGATGAGATTCTGTTCATTTATTTGTAAAATTTAAATTTGTGAAGAAAACAAAGTATTTTTTTAATTGGCACAGAAAACATGACATCCCCGTAGTAGAGGAGTGTAATAAAAGTTATAACGATTTATTTATTATGCTAAATGCAGATTAACAATAAATATATTTTAGCATTGTTAGTATTAAGATCGTTATTTTTAACAAATATAACAAAATTAACCAATAAACTTTTTACACAACATGTCATTCTTTAGCATAACGAAATTCTAATCAGATAATATAACAACAATGTTATTTTAAACTAAAATAACAAAAATGTATTATTAACCAAATTTAACAATTAACGTTTTGTTAATATGTTATTTTTTTTATAACATTTAATGAATTAAGTAAAATTAACAATTAATCCCACTTCGACTCCGGAGTGAAATGCTTACAGTATTATAGCCACCTATTGCAACGAATGAATACTAATTAAACAGATTAAGAAACGAGACTAATACAAACTATGACTCTCGAATGTCAAAATCTAATACATCATTATCTCTGAATCTTACTCTTATCTCTTGTCAAAAGTAAAATAAGTGCGCAGTTTAAAGAAATAGTTTAATAAATGAATTATCATAATTCGGTATAAAATAACAAAGTTCTATATCAATTAGTTCATTATACGAGATACTATTGTTAAGGCTGCTTTGTTTTTGTACAATAACTTTAAGAATGGATGCAAAATAACCGAAGACATTTAAATAACTAAGTACAAGCATGTACGAGTAAGTAGTGCCATCCTACTTATTATGCAAATTGTTTAATTGTCTTTATTAATGTTTTGTTGTTGTTTTTGTAGTTTTTTGTTGTTTATGTTTGTTTTATAGTTAACTACTTATAAGTTATTCTAGAATACGTAGCATTACAGAGTGTTTAATTAAATACCATACTTAAATTGTAAGTGAGAATTTTAAAAGAAGAAATGATTCCGCAAATTTAGCAAAGTTACCTTACCTGAACGTTATATAATTTAAGTACACTCCCAGCGGGGTAAAGATCCTCCCAAACTTCACGACCTGGTGCCAGGGCAAGGAGACTTTTCTCTCGAGCCCAACTGAACCCTAATGTCCCATGCATCCTTCCTGCACCGGCCAAACAGGTTATACTGACATTGTCACCCTGAAATTTTTGGATTCCAATAAAAACGTGCAATAACACCTCCGTTTAATGTATCGCCTTATTTATACTAATTTAGTAACGTTCGAAGTTCGAATTCTAGCTATAGAAGTTTTTTTATAAATTTACTAGCCGTTTCGCGCCCGCTTTGCTGGACGAATTAAAATAAATTTTATGTTTCATTATTTTATTGTTTTTCATATTTTTATTATTCTTCTTTTTAACTTCCCGCTAAGAAAATTGAAATATTTCGAAAATCGAGTTTTTAACAGATGTTGACGTTTAGAGGTTCTAGGAAGCCTCCCCGAATGTTTCCGCGGTGAAGTCCGTATGGATAAATTTTCATAAAAGTAAAACAGCAATAAAAAAATGAAGGAACGTTGGAATTTAATAAATAAATAGCCATAAACCATCTAGAATTTAATTTCTAAATTTCGCATCGAATGGTGGTAGTTTCATGTCGATACGATCAGTGGTTTAGGCGTGAAGGAGCCTCAAACGAAGACCATTTTTCTTTTATATATATAAGATTTGTCCAAATCGGGCGCGAGACACCGGATTTTTGATATTCCTTTTAATTTCAGATTTATTTGATCAGATATGTATCCTAGTGATTAGCAAACATATATTAGTTCCACCGCCTTAATTTAGAGTTAGGATCTGATGTTGTTTCCACTAAACATAATTTTCTTACATTTCGCCAAAAAGGGAATGAGAACGTAGTAGAAAAAGTATATACGCATTTGTTAATTTATTTAGAATTAGTATCTAATTTGACAGTACGAAAATGGTACGAACATCTTACTTTATTCAGTGTAAGTGTGGATGGAACAAGGATGATATTTGGTGGACGGAAAACTGTAATTCTCAAGGCACTACACCTCCGTCGACCCGCGTCTTCGGCTGCGCAGGACCACTTGCCACTATCCAGCTTCTTGGCAGACGACACTCCTAGTACTGACATACGGCGGCCTAACGCGTCTTCTGCGACCGTCCGAGTCCATATACCTCTATAAAGCAATTATAGAAATTAGTTAAAAAAATCAATGGCGCTACAACCTCTTTAGGTCTTGGCCTCAGATTTCTGAATCTGTTTCATGTTCATTTTTAAATATAATAGGCAAGTAGGTGATCAGCCTCCAGTGTCTGACACACGCCGTCGCCTTTTTGGGTCTAAGACACGTCGGTTTCCTCATGAGCAAATGTTAAATGCGCACATAGAAAGAAAGTCCATTGGTGCACAGCCGGGGATCGAACTTACGACCTCAGGTATGAGAGTCGCACGCTGAAGCCACTAGGCCAACACTGCTCCATAAAGAAATTAGTTTAGGGTTAAATTTTCTGAATAGAGATTTAGAGATTATTTTCATGAGATTAATTAGCCAAAAGTCTATAAAATTCGATTTAATTTTTATTTTAAAGAAATAATTTAGATAATTTTTTATTGAGATATTGCTTTTTTGTATTCGTTTTAAAGTACAATTCGAAAAAAAAATTATATGGGGGTAGATAATAATATATAAAATATTCTCTACATACCTCGTAGTACCTTTAAAGTTGATTCTGACTCCATCCTTATACCACGTGAAAGTGATACTAGGTGAGCCATAAGACATACAACTCAGTATGAACTCTGCACCTTCCCATACTTCTGGATGCTGATTTATTATTAATTTCTGTAATGATGTAATAAATAAGCTTATGAAATAGATACCTATTTCGTAATTTATGTATCTCAAGAGTACCGTAATTTATCGTTTCGTATTTTAAGCAACGTTAGTTTAGTGCTAAATTCAACGAAAGGCCCTAATTTATGTTACGTGGGTAATCTTATTTATAGTTTTAAAACACACCGTATTAGTAGAGGAATCGTTACGGCTATGTACTGTTTTATGTTTCTTAATCAACCATAATATTTTAGCGCCAACAAATACGCCGTTAAAATAGTAAAAGTAATACTAAATATTCAACTACGAACGCGGCTGTACACGATAGAAGTAGCACATATTATTATTAACTAAATATTAAGTCTGAATATTATTATTAACTAAATACAAGTATTGCTGTTGACAAGTCAACGCGTAGCTATCAGCTCATCGCCAAAGATCAGCAGTAAGTCTTTACCAAGACTTTTTTGAAGTAATACTAATAATAAATGTTGCCTTCAATAATTTGCCGTAAGTATAATACGATTAGCTTTAATTGTGGTTTGAAAATGGCATGTATTTCCTAGAACCAGTCTTGATAATAAAGGCGCTAACTCAAATTAACGAGATAAATGTCTGGCTTAATGCCAATTGTAATTAGGACACTTCTACAGGATTGCACGTTGGAAATAATTAAACTTTCTGGATGTTTCAAATGGCTGTACATCGGGACTTTTATTGTATCTGCGCTTAAAATAAATACCTGTTAAGCTTTGTTCTTTCTCTTTATTAAGTTTAACACAATTTTGTTGTATAGTAAAATTATTACTAGGAACTTTGTATGTGTCGTGTCCCTGTCATCTTGGATTTTATTATCACATAATGTGATCTACTATTTAATGAAATGGTATATATAATTTATTAGGTATTCGATAAAATTAAAAATGGAAAGGAAAAGGAACCGACTTTAAACACTACTGAACTAATTTAATAATAAAATGCGCTGCTGGTTTCCTCGCTCAACGAATAAGTATCGAAATACAGCTAGAAAATGCTGCCAGCGTTAAAGGCAGTGTATGCCACAGGGACCAAACTTTTTGATTTTGTTTTCTTTTCATTTATTTTTAATTATTTTTATGTAGGTTAAGAAAATTTGAATAAAAGAATCTACTTCATAATAAAATATACCTGATTTTGATATTATAAAAAAAATTGTACACATATACTTCCAAAATTTACATCACGTGCTTAGATGCTCCAGATTGTGATACCCAAATATTGTCCTCCAACAACACCACATATTATAGTTAAAACTGATAACTCCTTTCTTTGAAGGTGTTTCAAAATAGCTAACAAATTTAATTCTACTACATGCTATTATCCTACATATTTTGTTGATGTGGTTACGGGCTTCATATAATACGTGTATAAACAATAAATACTCAAAGTAAAAAACAAAACAATAAATAAATGCGTAACTCACGTGTAAGCTAAGTGCCGGCTGCATTTCGAAGTGCAATGTCACGGGCAAGAGTCGAAGCGAGTCAGTGCCGCGTGACGCAAGTCTTGCTAAAGCGGTTCGAACTGCGCCGGCCTCACGCCGTAAGCCCCAAACGCGCAACCATACAGTGCGACTGTTGTGGTTTGCTGAACTGGAAGAAAATACCCATCAAAATATTGTATACGGGTATTTAAATACGTATTGGTGATAAATAAATTGAAATATTTAAAAAAAGCACACAAGAATGTCGGTTTATGATACGAGACTTTTTTTAACCTTTTTTTTTATAAATTCTTACCTTATATTTAAGACTTCGATTTCATCGTGTAGAGTTATGTTTGATGATCGCAGATAATCAGTTATCTGAAAAATGTATATTATTCGTCCAATAATTCATTGCTGTCCCTTCCACGCGTAATGCAATAATAATTTAATTTCTACAAGACAATATGGTTCTCTGCATCTGTTTGTTATAGGCAAGTAATAAGCCTACTGTTACATCCACTGTGTCAAATTTTGGTTTAAAACATGCCTGTCACTATGTTTATTAGGTATAGTATGTGCGCTGTAGCATGGTGCGAGTGATAGTTGCTTAATTTTTCGTTTCACTCTCGAAAGTTGCCGCGATCCACAAATTATGACTTAAGGCCCATTTACATGATGCCATTTTCTTGTACGTATACATACCAGAGCAATAATTATTGAATGCAATAAAAAAAAAAAAAAAAAAAAAAAAAAAAAAAAAAAAAAAAAAAAAAAAAAAAAAAAAAAAAAAAAAAAAAAAAAAAAAAAAAAAAAAAAAAAAAAAAAAAACCAAAAAAAAAAAAAAAAAAAAAAAAAAAGGGAGGGGGGGGAAAAAAAAGGGGGGGGGGGGGGGGGGGGGGGGAAAAAAAAAAAAAAAAGGGGGGGGGGGGGGGGGGGATAATCTGGTATTTTTGGTACATTTAAACTTTCAATATTTTAAAATATATTTTGATAATATAAAAATGCGCAATATATTTTGCGGGGAAAACCCACTTCCATTCGTTCGTATTCGTCAAGAATTGTATGCAACTGTTTACACTTGAAAACATGTGGTCCCTTTTGGACCAGATGTTTTTTTATTTATTATCTTGTGTGTATGTGTAGTGAAGATAATAAGCGCAAATAGATAAATATATTGATGGAAATAATTCAATTCGTCATGGTGATTGACAAGAAAATAATTGCACATGCCTTTGTTTACACCAATGCAACTATTTTAAGGAGATTATTGCTATTCAAGTTTTGACTTGTCTAAACACAGGCTTGTATCCGTGCGTATAGACCATTTAATGGCGCTTTTTGCGTTGGCAAGTATCTCCGGGCCATGGATCATCTCATCGTTTATTCAGCAAAATGTTTATGTTCGGTCATTGACAAATTTTTCATTCAAGTCTTAAATATTTTAGAAGAGTATTGGAGTTTGAATATGTAAATATTAATGTAATAAAGGCAGGTAACACTTGTCACATGTAAAGAAAAAGTTTTAGTTTAGAATATAAAGAATACCTGTTTGAATTTTATATAAAAAGATAGTTTCTGTTTTTTGTTTTTAGTACTTCTATTCTACACGCAGATAGTGTAACATCTTTGGCTCTTTATAAACATAAATTATTGTTTTTTTTTAAAATAGACCCTCACCACCAGAGCTCAGTCTTCTTAAAATATTAGAACCATCCAACAGAGAGAGTATGAATATGAGTAAAAACGTGTTGAAATTCAGTTCTGCTGATATAATAAAGTTCATTGAGATTTATCGCAGTCATGAGTGTTTATGGGATACCGAAAATGTAAATTATAAGAACCGATGCACGTAATGCTGCGCTAGCAGGAATTTGAAGTTGACGGTTTCGGACTGAAGGAAATAACAAACAAAATAATATTTTTTTTTTTTAATTTATTTAATTTTTATTTAATTTAATTTAACACACCCTCACTCACTGCACTCATGTTTGCAAATGAAGAGATAATTGCGTACAAGAATTGCGTAAGAAATTATTGTACGTGCTGTTTACATCAATAATAGTTTTGAAAGGAAACTTTTCCCATTGATCAAGAATGTTACGTTTTGTTTAGACTATGCAATTTATTTATTGCGTTGATATAATTGTATGCTACAGGCAAGAAAATGGCATCGTGTAAATGGGCCTTTAGTATTTCAGTTGTACCACATTCGTAATTTTTTAAAGCATTAATTACTGGAGTAACTTAAATGTAACCCAGCCAGAATGTTCTAGTCTAAACATAAAATCAAATTGAAAGAAAAATTAAGCAACTGTGGGTGACAGTTGCTTAATTTTTCTTTCAATTGGTACAGCGCACATAGTAGTGGAAGTGGCGCACAAGGCAAATCTATTTCTTCTCAGAGTTGAGACTTTACGAGCCGGATATAAACTATGTTTTATAAAAATGACGTACCTGCTCTGTGACTTCTTTGGTTATATTTGCGTTTTCGCTATCTGCGATCTGCAGTTTTGTTTCAAAACGAGCAGACACTGAAAGGAAAATCAGCAGTCATATTAATATAAGAGACTTGAAGTACAGACCTACATTGCTTTGGCACGTGGTAAATCCCCACATTTCAAATATAGATAGTTCTCAAACAGTAACAAATAAATAATAAACAAAAATTTAATTCAAATTTTTCCTTTTTTTGCAAGAGCATCACACGTCAGGAGGAGACATCTCCGTGCTTTAAGCGTTGTGTATATGTCGCAGTAGAGAAGTTAAATCAGAGATCATTAATTGAATCTCACAAATCATTAAATTAAATATCGATTTAACTACTTTACTGCGACATATATACTCGTACACACACAAAAAACTCGCAATTGACAAATAGGATAGGAAAAATTACATACTTTACCAGATTAAAATGCCTTGCAATATCTTTTATATATCTTCGTATATTTTGCAGGCGGATAATAATTAACGGCAAAGATATAGGAGTATTTCCTTTAATGTTGTTCCATTTGGAGTAGAGCCTCTTGCGATGTGGGTATTAAGTGGGCGCTTGGAATAATACCAATGACCCCAGAGTTGGTGCTTTCCTCGCTCAAAGAATAAGTATTGTTTTACAGTGGGGAAATGGTGAATATGGAAATGTTGCCAGCATTAAAGTTACACTGCCACAGGGACGAAACTTTTAAAATTTATTTTAGTTTTCTATTTTAAATTTTTAATTATTATTATGATTAGTATGAAGGTTAAAATTGTAAACAATCTAATAAGCTTTATTTTTTATGTTATAGTTATTTTTAAAATTACAGATAAAATTGTCCCAACGTTTCAACTTTTCTGTCCAAATAACTGATAATCACACGTGTTTTATTCCAGTGAAGTGTATATGACAGGATTTTCAATTGTGAGTTCAACTGTAGGCGCACTATACTCGTACGTTTATACTTCCCTTTTGCCGATCCTTGTATAAATTTAAACTGTGTTTAATCAAAAGTCCCGCGGAGCCCCAGTAAGTATCCTCTCCTGACAATCAAAGCTGGGCTGTCCGTCATGGACAGATAGGCATGAATGTATAATACACTAGCGACTCACCCGGCTTTACATGTCTTACTGTCCCTGTAAAGCCTTCCTCTTGAATCTATTCATGCACCGCATGAAAATCGCGAAGATACAGTTGTGTCTCCACGACTTTGTTTTATAATATAAATGATTATACATAAGTAAATATACTTACTGCTATCACTGTCTTTCGGATTGCAGTCACAATTTTTTCCTTCTGTACAGTTTTCTGAGCATTCTTCAATTCCGCACTCTTTAAATAAAATATAGATTTTAGTAAATCAGTTAAAATTCGAAGTTTAAACCAATTTAAGGTTAAAATCGTTAAAACTTCGTTTAAAACGTTTATAGGAACTAAAATATATAATATGAATTATTATTATAGACGAAAGAAATCAATTAAATCAACATATCTCTATACCGATGGTGACCATCCCCTTGTTACTAGTATGAATTTCTTCAGGAGCAAAAACACATTAAAAATCTCATAGATATGACAAATAAAGTATAAGAATTCCTTCCAAAATGTATTGATTCAATGTAACTATGTACACTTATAAACATCAAGATATATATATTTTATAAATTATCTCGCATATTATAAATGTCAATTGTCAAAATCGCTAGTGATCTCACTTCATCTAGCAAGGTGAGTTCGAGTCAAAATCCGTTCAAGTTCCGATGATGACTGACGTCAAATGAGCCTCCTGTACCATGCTACTTATCTCATCTCCTAGATAACTATTAAAGATTCCTATCGCTCGTCTTACATCAATAAAAGACTCGTTAAACTAAGACGACACAATACGTGTGCAAGGTTTATTACTGCGGTGCACCTGTTCGCAAACTTTCTCAACTTCGCAACTAGACGTGTGGCTCTTTGAGTTATGTGTGGTCTTATATTACTTTTAGTTTAAGCGAAAATTTAACATTCAGTCGTATTTGCTAAAATACAAGTAATAGGCGACTCTAAATCTATGACGAAAAAGCCTATGAAATACACATTCTTTGTTTTGCAAGGATTCAAGACAAAATGAAAAGTTTGTTAGGTTAGGTTATATTTGGTGATCATTTGTTTTCCTAATAGGCAAGCAGCCTTTTTCGCTCGTCACACGCTGTCGACTTTAATTTTGGGTCTATGGCATGTCGGGTTACCTTATGATGTTTTTCGCGTACGAGCGAGTTTTAAATGCGTACAGCCGGCGTTCAAATCTACGACAGAGATTAATTTAAAGAGTAATATAACACCTAGTTCAGCGTCAGGTAAACCTGTCTATTTTTGTTTATATAAGTAGCGTAATTTAGATATAAGTTTTTTCCTGTGAAACAAACTTGAAATAAATTATTATTATTATTAATATGTTGGTACTAAACGATAATTTTATAGCCACACAACAGAACGCTCACTGATTCAATCCATGACACAACAGACTGCCTTTAAAAGAAATCTAACCCTTTTCTTGAAGGACGTTGAAGCTCACTTAATCAGTTACGAAACTCCAAATCAAAGATCAATGTATACATTTATACGATGGTCCTTTTAACTTCTAAAAGGACCATTAAACCTCAACCATAAACTTTGTTAGCAAAAATATACCTGGAGCGGCTATTTCTGATTCACAAAGGTCGCCAGTGTAGCCCGGCGCACAGATGCAACTTACGGCCGCTGGCCCCATTTGCCTGAAAATTACAAAGGCTTTTACTATCGGTGCCTTAGTCCTTTAATTTGGGGTCAAAGCTGGAGGCTTCGTATATTCATGGTTGCTATTTACCAAGAGTATTCCGTTCATTGAATACTATTGGACATGTAGATGAGAGAATAGGAAATAAGATGAAGATATGTCACTGTACGATCGGAGATCTCTAGTCAGTGTTACGTTCTTATAAATAAATTAATAAATGGTCAACAATAACCTCTTACAGAACAATAACATTGTCGTCCCTTAGTCCCGTTGCCAAGGTTGAAAATCAGCTGAATTTTCCAAATTCCATTTGCAAAAACTAACCTAGGAGTTCAGGCACCTCTCATTTTAAGCTTGAATAAATTAAATAAATAAGTAAAATTTCTGTTAAGATAATCTGTTGTATTTTAGAAAAGATGTAAAATAATCTATTGTAGTGCGACGACTTCCTAAGTACGACCAACACTGCTTTTTAAAATTTCACTTTGAAATGCCTATTTGATTACAAAATACTACAGCTATCTATGGCTTTGCTTCACAGTTATTTTGAATTAATTATCTATGGAGAATATATATTTTTCTTTTAGTAACAATTATTCATTTTATATACAATTTTTTTCGAGTAATATTATTATTACATTCTTTTTCTTTTTTTCCGTCTGATGCGCAAACTAACTGTTGTGGTCTCTGACAGAATGACCAGCGCTGTGGATCACGTCTGCTCCACTAACGCTGAGCCAGGGCCAGTTACTACCACAACCACACACATTACACACTTAAAGTGTACTATATTCCTTTTTTTTCTTGTTATTTTTATTTTTTGATTATTATTATTATTTTGTGTGTGTTTCGTTAGTAATAAATGTTATGACTATTTGTCTGTCTGAATATTTAATGCAGTCTTGAATGAGCAACCGTTTTTGACAGGGCTACAAACCTAAAGAAGTTCCCTCATAAAGAAGGTCTAATGTTATTATGAAAAAATTCACAATAAGCCCATGTCTAATAAAGAGTTTATGAGAAATGAGCGGCGTGTAACTCGGAAAAGTTAAATACAGAATGGCTGCATTCTTAAGGCTATTAAATTTAAACTTTAAACAAAACTTCGAGAAAGCGCCACTTGTTTTCATAATTCTTAATTCATAGTTGTTGCGCAGAAAGTTCACTAATTGTTGGTTAAAAAGTTCGCTTTAATATTTTCATTTACTTTAAAAAATGAGGCAAATAAATCCTGCAATTAATTTAAAAGTTAAGACTTAATAAAGTTTCAGTGGAAGGAAGATATAAATTGTGTTACCTCTCTTCACGAGGCAATTAACAAAAAGTGCTTCGGAGTACTTTAAGAAAATGTGTAACTTTGTCTTAATAATTGTTATTGCTTTAATAAAGTAAAAACTCTAGCAAGACTTTAGAAACTTTTATTTTCAGTTTATCATTACTCAAAATCAGTGTTGCTGGTGACAACAATTTAAAGCCGAGTTAAAGCCCAATTTTGGCTAAAGAGACTGTGTTTTTCGTATTTCGTTTTTTAAGTATGTTGCTTTAATCAAATACTTATTTTTCTTCTATCTTCTTTATACTTTTATGCGTGTGAGAGCGTATGTATGTGCGCCACACGTGGTGAATAGTGTGATGACGTAATAGAATAGTGACGATATTAAAACCCCGATCAGCGCTCCGTAGCCGTATTTGAAACTGATCGAATAGTATTTGGTTAACTGTTTCTGTATAATGAATAAAAAACCAAATTAATTTTATATTCGAGCTGTCAAGAAATAAACGTTTTGACGTATCAAGCTAACAAAGCTATGGAAATGTTTGTGTTTCCGGTTTTATTTATACTCTGTATAAAACTGTCTTTGTCATAATTTATGATTACAATGGTCAAAACAAAACAATTAAAAAGGCCCTAAATTACCATTCCACCAAACTGGGTCAACGAGATTTAAGCGCATCAAAAATCGCAACCTGTGAAACAACTTTTACACAATTACCTTAAATATTTAAAAGTTGTTTCACAGGGTCTAAACTATTGTCACTGTGTAGTGTGTATACATATTACATGATTTATCTATGGAGTAAATATATTTTAAATGTATCTTACCTGCATATTCCGTTATTTTTGCATAAGTTAGATGTGGTAGGACACAGTGGGCCGATACCGCAGTCGGGACCCGAATAGCCCTCGAAGCATGAACATGAGAATTCTCTGTAAATAACAATATATAACACTAAGGTAACTAAAATAACATGTTGTAATGATTAACACTTCAAGTAAAATTGTGTATCTCGGTAATATTATGCTATTTATTCTACCTTCCCCCCTACCCTACCGTCCAAACAATAATTTCATTTGAGAACTGCATGTCTCTTGTGAAAAAGCTAGTGTATGAAGGAATACAGTAATACTACGGGTATTATAGACTTTTCAATTTAAAAGCTATACTAAAACACATTTATCATACTAGAGAAAGAGTAAAGTTGTAAAAATGTAAGCGCGCCGCGTTATCAAAATTCAACTTCATAGATTTTGAAATATCACACGCGTGCAAAATCAAATTTGAAGCGGCGTCAAAATTATACAAAAGCCTAAGCTTATATGTCCATGGTTTGCATTATATAGACAAACTCACGTAAAATCAGAAGAGGCATAACAATGTCCAAGCAAACGGCACTCAATTGCGCTGCAGGAAGCCTGTGCTTGGGCGGGCGTAAGGGCTGGTGGCCGTACAGCGAACGTTACATTGAGACCAAACACCTGCAGGAGACCCAATGCTCGTAGCTGTGTGCCTTCTAACCGGTCTAGTGTCAGTTCTACCACCAAAACTGGACTTTGGACCTAAAATAAAACAAATATTAAGAATCATTAGTTTTTAATTTAAACGTTTTTAAATAAAATGTGGTTTTTTATATCATATTACATTGTTGAGTTTGTGTTTTATTGGTAAAGAAATTTAACTTCACTTATATCACTTATTAAACCCTCTGATACCACAAAAATAATATCACATATCAATAACAATATCTTTTCCGCAAAATACTGCAAGATACAGCTAACATTTGCTGTTATCAGTGTCAGAGCCAATGTTCAGACATATTATGCTATGCTTTATTGTGTTTTTCTAAGTTATAATAATAACAAAAAAATTGTGTTTTTATTTATTTTTGTGCCGTCCCAAATAAAAGATTTCACTTCATCGTAATTCTTTGTACAAAAGTTAATGCCATCCGTTAATGGAAAAAATATTAACATTTCTATTGTACCTTGACTCAAGTTATGGGAACTTTGAGCAAAATTCAATATTCTACGAATATTTTTCAGACTTTGAATACTTATCGGATTCCGTCGAAATGTTTGGTTATTGATATTCGGTCGGTTGCCTCCGATTCTATTAATTTTAATGTGCCATTCACATCAACGGAAAGGTCGTTTAAGAATATTTACTGCGAATTACTTTCGAAATATTTACTATGCTCTCAAACGGTAGGTAAGAAATATTGCTTAAATAGGTAGATTTTGGTTATAAGTCAACATTGCTAGTATAAAGTGCCTTTTTTATGTAAACGTCGAAAATTTAAACACAATTTAGATTTAATAGTTAAAGATATTGATTTTTCTCACCAGTTTTGGTATTTTCTGACAAATATTAAAGAAGTTGATTCATACTGATACCTTCTTAATTTCCCGTATACAACCCATTTCAGTCCCTATGGAACCTTTTTAAGTGCTAAACAGTTTATGTTCTTTCCTTATAATTAAAAGTTACTTATATACTGTGTTTAAACAATTAAATATAACAGTTTAATATAATAATAGTATTATCATTAAATAAAGGAAAGTATACAGTACTGTTTACTACTTACAGAATCAAACATCCAGACGACAACAACATAAAATTTAAATTCAACACGAATTTGTCGAAAAGGATGAGTCCTGAGAAATCTTTTGTGAACAAAATGCTTCTGGAACTTTTCTTGATTTAATTTAGAATATATTTCAAAAATGTTTCAGACTTTATCGTCTTGGATATTCGAGCATAAACTTTAATTATAGTCGATGTTCATTTGACATTTATTTATGACATTGAAGTAAATACAAGGACAGAGGGAATAGTTGAAAGGGTAAATGATTTAGGGGTGGGTTTTGTGGACTTTCTGATCGCTTCAAAAATACCTCCAACAGCAATCTCATCTCAGATAAATATCATACTGTATGTATAAGTCATAGTCGCAGCATAGTGACGGATCTGACAAATAGTAAACTTTACAGGGCAGCCATTTCAAAATAATATAATCATGTTAGTTTTTTTGTCATAACTATTTTACGAAAATTGGTATACAAGCAAACAAAAGGGTTTGTTTTGAAACAAAATAACACAGTTTTCTAGAAAAATTACAAGTTACTATCAATCCGTCACTTTACCGACTGATTAATTTGAAATTTAAAACACATGGATTTTTTTTGAATATAGCCGTAATATTTATACAAATATGATACAAAGTGGATTTTGGATTTTTTTCAAATCCGACATTGTTCTATGATCATGTTTTGTATTTAGGCAAAGCGGCTCCTGTAATCAAAACCGTAGTTCCAAATAACGATAAAAATTATGACCACTCGCACAAAGCTTACGCAGAAATCAACAAATATATATTTTACGACTTGGCAACGACATTAGCCTTAGAGGATCTTCATGACCGATGTTTGCCGGTATGTAGGAAAAAAATAACTTGTCTTTATTGCCGACCACTTCTTATTGTTTGGTCATGTACATCAGTTTTAAAGAATTCATCAAAAATTAGTAAAAAATTGCACTGGCACAGCGGTCCATGGGCGGCGGCGGTATCACTTAACATCAGATGAGGCAGACAGGCAATAGGCCCGTCTGCCGTCATCTGTATATTATTTATATGTATGTATGTATTGTAACATAAAAAAAAAACTTCCCGCGTATTAATTGACACGATTATAAGTATCAGGTATAGATCACGTCAGACAAATAATTTAAATTTAATTAACTAAAATCGACCTTAAAAAGTAAATTTCCTATCCGTTTTTTTGCAAAAGAGTTTCTAACAATCATATACAACATTAATACTATGTTGTTGTTTAAAATAAACTACTTAATGTGCAAACAGTATAGTTAGTATGAATTAGCTTTGAATGAACCAAGAATCCCGGCCTTGTAAATTTAACCCGTAAATTTTTATTATTGTGCGACACGTGTCTTAACAGAAATTTATAGATTGTTGATTTCCATCGATATAATTATTTAATTTCCTTTGAAAGTTTACAATTGGGATGTAAAAATAACAGTTGATGCCACCTCCAAAGCCTCCGAGATCAGTATTGATAATACTAAAGGGTCCCTGTGCCAACATTAGTCTTAGATCATCTATTGTGTACAGTTGTATACGAGAATTAATGCTAACAGTAAGCCTCTAATTCCTGTATAGTCTCTCTTAGGTCATCAACAAGGAGACTATTGTTTCCAACGCCGTTACTCTCGTGTATATTAGCCATATTGTTGAAACGAATTTTGACTTTTTTAAATTATTTTGCCCAGAATTTGTTTAAAAAATAATAAATAGGTGGCACTACAACCTCTTTAGGTATTGGCCTCAGATTTTTGAATCTGTTTCATGATCATTTTTTAAATCTAATAAGCAAGTAGGTGATCATCCTCCAGTGTCTGACACACGCCGTCGAATTTTTGGGTCTAAGACATGTCGGTTTCCTCACGATGTTTTCCTTCACGATGTTTTCCTTCACCGTTCGCGCAAATGTTAAATGCGCACATAGAAATAAAGTCCATTGGTGTACAGCCGGGGATCAAACCTACGACCTCAGGTATGAGAGCCGCACGCTGAAGCCACTAGGCCAACACTGCACCAGAATTTGATTGATATTAGTTAATTTTTTATTCCAATTTCGATATGTTGATACAATAGTTTTAATTGTAAATTGTTACTTAATAATTATAATAATATTATTTGACAAATCCCCCCTTTAATAACACTTCTTTTTAGCCATTTTGAAGATTTATTCAGGAAGAATTATTATTTTACCGAGAATTGAAGCAGGACCAGAGGTTGTGCCCTAAACACAAAGCATGAAGGCGGTTTTAAGACTTTATACCTAATATTTTATTTTGTATAAATTGTTTTTCAATAAACCTCTCTCTGACAGATATCTGAATCAAATATCTACGAATTTGAAGTTTCTTCATTAAATTAAAAGCGCGCATAGGTCACTACGAAGTTTATCATTAAAAGTTTTAAACAAATTGTCAATGAAATGCAACTACTAGCATCGTTTCGATATCTCACTATAAATATGATAATTAATGAAGTTCATTTTTAAGTTTTGTTTAATAAATTATTATGGCAGCATTAAGCATTTAATAAAACCTAGCCTAACACCCGTTCTTTAGTAGGTATCTGAGGCCAAGGCTTACTTAACTAGGTCACGCGGCACGCCATTGAAGTACATATCACCCGTTGCTTACATACAAAATGTAAGGTTAGGTTAGGTTAGGTATATATAAAACCGTACGTTCCGAATGGTATAACAAAATTAAACAACAAAAAACCTATTAACAGTTACAAAATAAAATTTTATTAAATAGGTTAAACGGAATTTTAATTCATATATTTATCAATTACAACCGAAGATAAAGGTTTTAAGAGAAAAAGTTACGACCGAATTCAGTAGTAAAAAACAACAATTTTGTCAACTTTGTGGTTTTAAAAAGCTTTTATGCAACTGGTATTAACGTTTGAGTTTAAACAGGTTTTCCTATAATCGCTTTAACTGCATCAAGATTGCATTTGGAACGCGCGAATCCAGTTTCAAATCTCAAGTGACGTAGGGATTATCGAACGTAGGGTTGCCATTTTGATGCCGAAATAGTTTAATGACACATTTTTGTGCTTTTGGTTCACGATAAGCGATTTTTGATTGCATACGTAATAAAGTATTTTATATGGTTTGTGTACTGGATGAAAAAAATTCTGTTGTTTAAGTAATTGACCTCTAGCAATTTTAAATATATTTTACTCAAACCAAAAACAAAGTTAAAGAAATATTTTCATACTAGCTGGTGCCCGCAAGTTCGTCTGCGCAGGATTAAAATACTATTTATCCAAATTATGGAGCGTGAAAGACATATTTTATCTACTTAGCGATAAAAGTATCTATTTTATTCTACTACAGAAGCGATAAAAGTATATATTTTCATTTAGGAATCAACTTACTATTACCAAATGTGCATTAGAAATAAATTATCAATTTTTATTGTAGTTATGGTTCACTATTTTGGCTATAATGGCTTACACATAAGACATATACATATACTGTGGCGGGCTTTTTTGTAGGGCTCTTAAATATAAACATTTCCATTACATCATCATAGATTACATATGTGTAACTCTATTTGGCAGCGCACGCCAGAATAGCTCGCAGATGGTAGATTTTTTCCTACTTACTTGATATTTTGGACTATTCGCACAATATCTTTATAAATTGTAGCCTATGTGTTATTATGTTGTATAACCTATATTATTGTACAATTTCATTAAAATACATTCAATAGTTTTTACGTGAAAGAGTAACAAACATCCATACTTACAATCTTTCGCGTTTATAATATAATATTATATGTAGTAGGATATGCATTTGTCGCGCTCCTGACAAGAATGCTGTTACATTACAAAGATTTGCAAATGTAAAATTTTACGACTTTTGTATATGTATTTTGTGAAATAAAAAAAAATTGTGCGTGTACAAGGTATACACACGTAAGAAGTGAAACTTCTTTATGATCTTATTTTTCGAAAAATGATCTACTATATGCAACTTTACAGAAATTCGTTAAATTAGATAAAGTTAAACAAAAGGCTTTTATTATCATAGACATGAATACAAATATTTCATTTTACCTTATTACTACGAAGATTATTATAGAATTTCATTAATTGTAATATAATTATTACTATCATTGAAAAACGTGACGATTGCTACAAAATTTCTCCAATACGTCGATAAAGAAGTTTCATTCCAACGCCGATAAAGAAGTTTGACTTCAAAAAGCAACATGGCGCGTAACCGAAAAATGTGACGCGTAACGAAAAAATGTTACACTAAATTTTTTTCCAACCTCGATAAAGAAGTTTCACTTCAAAAATATTTAGAGATACATAAGTGCCAGTTATCGGCGTTCCAATCATTATATTCGCTGAGAGGAACCTTCTTTTCACATCAACCGGTAGCATTTATTGTATCACTGGAATTTTAACGTACGCCCAACGATGGCATCTGTTATGGAGGGAATTAAGTAAAAACAAAAAAAATAAAAATGTAAAATATGGATCTGGGTCTCAGATTTCTGTATGTGAGTAAAGCTTTGTATGTATGTTTGTAACGAATTGGCTCAAAAAGTACTGGATTTTACAAATTCTTTCACCATTTGAATGCTACATTATTACTGATTAATATTTTAATTGCAAAAAATAAGCATTCCTACAAAACTACAATAATGTTACCCAAGGTGTAAAAAAATGCCTATAAAATATCTTTCATCGCATGCGCTGCGAAAAGTATTGATGATAGAACAAAAAAATGTTCCACAATATTAAAGAACATATTAGTATCAACAAATTTAAAAAAAAAATGTCCAACCGTGTGAAGCTGGGACGGGCCGCTAGTTTTTAATAAGCAAGAACGTCATTAGCCTTCTGTGCCTGATACGTTCCAATCCACTGTTTTTGGGCTTAATGTATGCCACTTGCCTAACGATATTTTCCTTCATCGTACCAGCGAGCGTTTAATGCATAGACAAAAAGTCCTTAAAAAGGGCCTTATCATACGAGCGGAT